GGGAGGGGTGAACTAATCCGATCCGACTAGTTCTGGTGATCGATCGGAACTAGGCAGCGCTGAAAGACTGCCACTAACTATCCTAGTTGATTATTACCTGTCTTAATTATAGGCTACTGCTGCTTTAATTACCTTGATACAGTGTAATAGCCATTATAGGATTACAGCCTTATCAGAATACCTAGACCGGCCGACTTAAAAAAATACGATATAGAAGTTTAAACCTGTTATTTTATTTTTGTAATACTTTAGAATTAAGTACTACTTTTCATGTCAATTTTATTTTTTATTGTACATATAGTTGAAGGATGGAATATTGAGATAAAGCCATATTCTTGCTTATATTACATGCATTTAAAAAAAAAAAGAAGGGGGTTCCTCAAGTTAATTTAAACAGAAAGCATATCATCTACAAAAAAAGTTTTTCAACTAAACTCAATTATATACAACTTATAGTCCGAGGTACAGTCTCCTTCTTATCAAATTTGCAAAGTCATCAAAGATTTCCGTGAATGACTTCATTTTATTGTAACCTACAACTTTTTTTATTGAGGAAAATTCTCAGAAATGGGGGATTTTCAATCTGAAGATCGTTAGACTTTTTTAATTTAATGAGGTGCTTATAACTCGCGTTCAACTTCTTCCTATAATTTGATCTCAAAATTTTGAATGATTCGGGATTAGAAAATATTTGGCCGTTTTATGTGAGATCCATGCCTAACATGTAAAAATAAAGAGGTTATAATAGGACTGTCGGCCCAATATTTTTTTGGATTTTGTTATTTAATGATCTTACGGAATTATGGAAACAAAATGGGTGTTTATGAAAAGTTATAGGTTACGTTATAGAATGTAGCCATTCACAAATAAAATTTTACTCTGTGGTACACAACCCTTTTCACCAACATGTACATTATTATTAAGAGTCCAATAATGTTGTATGAAAGAAAGTAGTATCTCTTTTTGTTTTTAATTATGGTTTCCATTTAATCAAGGAGACCCTTCTTCCAGCTCAGTTTCAGCCTTATTCCTTTGTTTTTTTTTTCTTTTGCCCTATAATCTTTTTCTTTCTTTATATCGAAAACAATACCTATGGAGTGATGATATGATTCTTCAGAAATGGATTCTGGCATGCGGGGGTGAGAAGGGATTGTTCTTGAGGTTTAACCAAACCTAGTCTTACCAGAGTGGGAAGGTTGAGATTCATTCCGTGGATCCTCAACGCAATCGATTTTAATTCCCTCCCTTCCTCTCCCCCGCGATTTGACCCAGCTTCCTTAGACCAGAGAATTTTAAAGCTTATGCTTTAACAGTCTCGGACATGGTGACCTGTTTTTTCTTCCCCTTCCTCGCCTTTTAGTCTATACGGGTTTTACCGAGCCAGAAGACCAGAACCACAGTTTAAATCCTCTCTCTCCCCTCATCACCAGGACGCGACCTCAAATAATAATAATAATTTTATTAATTTAACTTCCATAAGGTTACCGTGCTACGCAGTGGGTCCACTACGAATTAAATTTTAATTTGTTTAGTCTGAATCTAGAAATTAGTAATATTATTACGCCTTTAGACTCCTGGACACCTCCTGTTGCTGTCGGGCATGATGGATTTGGCCGTGTACTCAACATTCCCGAACCATATCTTAGAAATGTGTTTTGGAATCGTTTATTTTAAGTCTCGTGGTATCTTTTGCTTTTATTTGCTGAAGCTTTTGTTTTGTTCAATAAAACATTTATCTGGTGGGTCCATTTGTGCTATTTTTATCTGAAGGCAAAGTAATGTTTCTTATGTATCTTATCTTAATGTTTACGTATGTATTTTTTTCCTTAATTCGATTATTTAAAAAATATGCATATCTGTACAATTTCTACTATTTCCCATATTATTGAGTATAACGTTTTTTTTTTAGTATTGTTTTCCTGATTTAGATTATTTCAAAGTATAATTAAATTAAAAGTTCAGTAAAGACATTTTTGCTTTCAATTCTACTATGAGTATTAATTGAAGTTTTATTATTTGCCTTCCTTAGCGCTACCAGCTATTCGTCGCAAATCCAACCGGTGGTTTTTATCGGAAAGGTGAAGAAATAGTTAAGCTATTGAATATTCGACTTTCCCTAAAAGTTGCTACCCCGAGACCTTATCAAGCCCAAACCACAAGGATTCGGTTTTGTTCTCCTTTTAGAGCCATTTGCAATTCAATTCAGATCTGATTGTTCCATTTGTCAGCGAACTCTAGGCGTGGTTGTGAATGCCTCCTCCAACCATTACTTGAATAGCGATTGAGTGAGTAAAATATCATTTAATAATTAGCAATGGCAATTATAAAAAATTCATAAAACGTTTTATTATTCGGTATTATAATATTAAATGTAATAACTTTACACAAAGTCATAAAAGGCACACCACCAAAATATTCGATTCAAATTTTAAACTAGTATTTTGCTAACTCAACGCAATCTAGCCAATGTGTTAAACCTAAGTTGCAATACATTATGTTAAATAAAAATAAATAAAAACATAATGTTAAATAAAATAAATAATAAAAATAGTATCATATTATGATATTAATCGAATTACATTAACGTTTATATAGTTATATAGTTAGTTAGTGTTTTAGTCATGTAGATAATTAGCTTAATTTTCAAAAAATTGTGAGAAATCATCCTGAAAACCACAGCTTCGAAACTAACAAACAATAATACAAATATCGGATTACCTTGGCTACATTTTGGCAAGTTCTAATTTTTAAGTTTTACTTTTGTATGAAATTTTACTACATTTTGATAAATGATGCACTGATGAATGAAAACAATTATAATATAGCAAAATCTTGTAATTTATATTTAGTCGGAAATGAATTTTATTATTTATCATGACTATTTTTTTGGTTATTATAAATATTGAACTGAATAGCTTTAAGGAGAACAGCTCGGGTGTTTAATCGAAATCTGTAATGAAGTTCGGCGCTAGCTATTAAAAAAGAAAAGTTTATCGGCCCCCATTTTGAAACCAAATTGTAATGAGATCTCCATAAGACACTTCTCCAACACAAATTTAATTTAAATAAGAAATTTCAATCTTCTATCTTTATTTGGTGGTGGTCTAGAGACATCCAAAACTTTGTGAAAAAATATTCAGAAATGATAAAATTTAACCTAACTTCTATGGTATTATTGTGCCAAAAAAAAAATTTCCACTCATCCATCATCCATTGGAAATATTGGATATATATATATTTCCTGTTGGCGATACAGACCATGAAGATCTTTGGTCGCGAGATGTGTTCTCCTTACAGACATATATTGCTTGCGGGAGCACAGGGGTCACCCAGCCTAACGTTGCTACGAACCATGGTATCGTATCCATGGTCCAGCGGCAGACCTCAATAATTAATTATTGAAAATATGTTCCGTAGCTCCATAGCCGATCGATCCCTTTGGGGACAATCTGGTGATGTGCTTCCCACAGATTCACTCGGGTTTAATGGCAGTGACTAATCGGTCTAGATCCATGAATTATGGCTGCTCAGAGTCAGAAGGCTCAGGCTTACATTTCTTTCCCCGAAAAAGACCGTCCGTGGACCAAACCTGAGGGGGGGGGGGGGCTACTGACAGCCTGGTAAACCACATCCCAATTTTCATTTAAGTACACAGAGTAGGATCATCAGTCCTCCGTCAGGTCGGTGTGAGTTGTCTCCAGTAGTCTGGCGGGCCTCGCATACTCAGGGGAGGGATGGAAGAATGAGAGTATCTGGCAGCATGTTTTCCCTGGTGGACGATCACCTATTGAAGTACTAACCATGCTCGACGTTGCTTAACTTTGATTACCTATTGCAAGCGCCTTTGCCCGTACGGCTAATGAAAATATTCATTATTTTTATCTGGGAGATCTATTACTATAAATAATTAAAATTAAAAGTCCTCAGTAAACTAAAACGATATACAAGCCGAAACAAATGAAACTATGTACAACATATTTAAAATGATAGGAAAAAATCAATGCATAGAAAAAAGGTAGAAAGAAAAACAAAATACATATTGAGCTCCTCTAACAGATGAGTACCAGATTTCTAATAATGTATATGTTGGGGTTATAAATATAATGAAACATCAAAATCGTTTGAAAGAAAAACTTTTACTTGTGAACATTTTACAAAGCATAATATTAATTATGAATATACAAATAAATAAATTAGATTTATTTCTCTGCCGTTCATTTATATCTGTGTTTGTGTGTGTGTGTAATGAAAACGAATAATAAATGCACTCTTATTCTCGAAGACCACAAGTGGCCATTGTACCTTTAGGATTAATATAACACAAAATGTACAGTAAAATGTTTTATCCAACTTCAACTTAATTCATTCTGTTTATCATTTACTCTTAATTGCAGATTAAATAATTAGTTAATTAGGAAGACGCACCACGCTCACTTCTGAGAGTATTTAATTCAATGGCTTGCGAATTAACCAATAATGCCAGCTATAAACATTTAAACCTTCATAATATATTTATTTAATGAATAATTGAACTTCCATGGCTTCATTATATATTCTTAAAGCTCACCCCTATGTGGGTCCCTTTCACCCCTGTTGTTTCCACCACTCTCTCGCATAGGTTGATGCATTATTTCCGACAATGGCACTTGCCCTAAACTTTGCCCATCTCCACGCACTCGTGATGTGATATATACCGTGTTTCGTAAGGCCTGCTGAAACCTAAATCATATTCAGTTATGGATCAACTCGACATATTATGAATTCAATGGAGTTTCGCTATTCCAATTGATCATGCTTTGGACACCAGATGTGAATGTTGATCTCTGGTTTATTAATATCGATGATGACATATAATATCGATGAGGTGTCATCTTCTACCAGTATCCTAAACGAGATTGCCATAACAGTTTAACATCCTATGTAATCTGTAGCATACGATTTGCTTGCTTTAATTGGCTTAACATCTATTGGCTAACAAGCAGCAAGAATTATTCATTCAAATGCTACCTACCATATCAGAGTGAGAAACTGTGTGATTATTCCGAGGTTCACTACAAAATAAAAGTTGACTATCTTAGAATGGATCCGAAGTGGCACACTGCGTTTGATGACGTGAAATGTGTAAACGGAAATCATATTATCTACATTCAAATATATATCGGCATTAATAATATGTTTTCTTTTAAATTTTTACGGTGGTATAATATGGTAGTTATAATTGAATAAGGCCTTATGAACGCAAGTTTGAAGAGAGAGAAAGGTAATTAACGAAAGGGCAAAATATGATTTTTAATTATTCGATTTTTTAATTCGATTGCTCTTATCGTATCTACTTAAATTATTATTATTTGTTTTTGTATTAACTATTTATTAGAATCTTTTAAATATGAGAGTTAGAAAATGCAATCGAGATAATATAGTTATAAGCTCGTATTTTTTACTTTTTCTAGGTAGAGGTCACCCGAACTGGTCAATATTTTTGTAGGCCAATTTTTTTTCTCGACTTTGCGATCATATTATCTTACGATTTATTGATAAGTTTATATCATAAATGGATATAGATCGTGGATATCAATTTAATATTCCAACGGAATTATATGACCGCATTTATAGATATTTTTATCGTCTATTCACAATGCCTTGACCCGAGAAACTTAAAACCGATCAACTAGTTATGGCATGAATATATATGGAGATGTATTGTACCCAGCAGTACTCCAGTTCATGATTCAGCTCCTTAACTCATAAGAGAAGATCTCTCATCCATCTCTATTTTAGTCACCTCTTAATTGCATTTTCAGCCACAGCCATATCGTCTATCAGTCCGTTGTTATGTCTATGGAATTTATTATGGAAACTGGAAACTGAAGAGATACTGGGTGCGTATGTCTTTTTTAATTCCACACAAATTAACTGCAATAAACAAGCTGGTTAGCACCCATAGTATGCTAAAAAGAAGCTGGATGAGGGACCTCGCTTGGCTGTAAATAATATAAATTCAAGATAAAAAAAAAAAATTAAGTAAACGTAATATTCATACAATGGTATAGAATATTTAAAAACAAAACGGCTGCTAGATAGCTGATTTCATACTTTTAACTTGCTACTTCCGAAGTTCTACTTTTAATTTATACAATTATCTCATGCCTCAAAATTTTTAAACATTTAAGGAAATACAATTTATTTATAATAGGTTATTTTATTGTAAAATAATGTTTTTACCTTTCTGAAAAATGGAACTAGGCTTTTTATTAAAAAGAAATAAAATAGGACGGCGTCGGGTACCTACAGTACCCGCAATACACAACTCATACAGCTTGACTATTGTTTTCATATTCATGGTCAAATACCAATTCAACATTAAAAATTTGTATATCCATTATTTATTTATTGCAAATGTCTTCAATTTATCCTCTTTCTTTCCTTTTTAACTATTTCCTTACTATTTTTTCTACTAAATTTTACTGATAAGTATACAATTACTAACCTATAACAACATATGGTTGTTTTATAAGGTATAAAATAAATTCATCACCACCGCCACCAACCATTTTGTTTTAATTTACAATTATAGAGAGGAAGAAAATAAATCAAAAAAATAAAAAGTGTATAAATAAAAAAAAAAATAAAACAGAAATCATGAATATGAATCATAATCCGTGTTATGGACATATTTTTATCAAATTGTTAATATCCGCCTGAAACTTCGTAAATAGCTCCATCTCATTGTAATTCACAAATATTTTACTTGATTTTCACTTGAGTCGTAAGATAATATGACCACAAAATCGAAAAAAGAATGTGGCCTTTAAAAATGTTGGGGTGTTTGGTCTGTATAATCTCGTTATTTTACGTTTTTCGAGGTAGAGGTCACCCAAACGGGTCAATATTTTTGTAGGCTATTTTTTTTTCTCGTCTTTGTGATCATATCTTACGATTCAAGTGGAAAGAAAATGGTCATTCATGAGTTATTAGTAGCTGATTAAATAGACAAAGTTTGCCGATCTCCAGATTGAATTCCGAAAACTTTCGTAAATATTTGTAGGTTACGATGAGATGAGGCTCTTCACGAAGTTTCAGGCGGATTTCGATAATTTGATAAAAAGGTGTCCATACCACGGGCTATCATGAATGGATATAAATCGTTGATATTAATTTATTATTCGACAGGAATTATATCAACGCATTTATAGATATTTTTATCGTCTATTCACAATACCTAGATCTGAGAGACTGAAAACTGATCAAAAATGTATCTACTATGTATTTGGTGTTAATTTTGACGTTTAATGAAATTAAATAGCTTCTGACATAATATAACATTTTTTTTTTTAATCTGATGATAAGTTAGTTCCATAAATTATCAGTGGAAAGCAATGGTGGGTGACACATGAGTTGATTTTATAATAACTAATAGAATTAATAAATAAATAACTGGAACGAAGTCTCTTCAGAATAATACATTTTTTTTTAATTTAATTGTTTTTTTTCTTTTTATTCGATTTGCTTTACAGTCATTGTAGATCTCTTGACTCCTTGATTATCTTTCTTTATCTTTGCCTATCTTGAACTCTTTCATTCCAGTTATCTGCATGCAGCTCTAAAGCATATATTTTTAGTCTGTTTATCAATCAATGGTGTTTTGCTCCTAAGCCTCTTACAAATTTCAAATGTATTCATTGTTGTGTAAAGGCTTCCGGTTGGATTGTTCCAAGCTACATGCCCATCCCATCTTTACCTCCTTGCCCTTATATCAAGAGATATTGATTGTCGAATTTCTGTAAGTAGTTTTTTATTGGTCTTTCTAGTTCATGTGGTTGTATTCTAATATTACTCTGGTTATAGTACCAAGAATTTTCCTCTCAAATTTTTCAATACTTCTTTAAAGGTTGCTGATTAGAGTTTAGTTCTCACAGCCGTCAATGAGAACTAACTTTATCATAGCATTATAAACTTCAATTCGAGATTTTTCTTAAATACTTTAGCACTGGAAAAGGTGATAAGAACATCATCTTTAAATACAAGGATCCAGGTTGAAATTTGAACTAGATATGAAATGATAATTATATATCTTATAAAAAAACAATGTAATAATTAGAAAATTAAATATGTTTTTATTAAGATATTTTGTTAATACGAAGTACTGTAGCTTAGATTTATCCGTATGCATCGAACTATTCTCACATACTACGTAATTTTTTTTTCTCTGATTACAGAACTATCGGAGGAATACTTATCGCCATGATGACAATTGGCACTGCATACGAAGCCATCCTGGAGCGAAGAGCCAAGAAATTCCGGAAGCATAAGGGCAACAATAATGAAGGAAAAGTTGTGATGAAGAAGGATGAGATGTCTAAGTCCGATGAAGAGATGATGCAGTCAATGGACCCCTGTCACAGTAAGTTTGAAGACTTATATAAAAAAAAAAAAAAAAAAATTATCACATCTCTTTTTCGTCTAATTCTATGCCAAAATCACGGAAATGGTGAATATTGAATGAAATATGCCTTCATTGGCTGAATTAGTCTCATAAATATATTGTCAACAAAATATATTCTCTATTACCAAAAGGAGAGTAATTTATTGTAATATATAAGTCGAATTTATGTTATTACTTATTAGTTTGTCATACTGCATTCTCTCTTCATAGAAAATTATTCGGTTAAACAAAAAAATAAATAAAACTAGTTTTCTTTTAAACTCTCTTCATGTAAAAACAATAATGACATATTAAAATAATAAAATTGAAAAAAAAATTATAGCAAAAACAAATCAGATAGAACATTCATTGTTAAAATGAAGAAAATTAGGCACTATTTTTATTGTAGTAAAACCAGTTTCTACTTTAAAGCCTTAAAGCTATCTGAGCAGTATTTATTGATTTTTGTTTAAATATTTATTATATTTTTAATTATACTTGTTTGACCTTTGTGCTTTTTGTAACGATTCATTTGAAAATTGGTCATAAAAAAATTAATATTTGATTGCAAAATTTATTTGTACGTTTCGAGGATACTCTGTCCCCCTCCTATGCAATATATTATTCATCCAAGAAAATGGGTTACAAAATTACAATTTAAGGGGATTGGTCAATGGTACTTAAATAAGTTTCACTTTTTTATTTATTTAGGCACATATTTAAGTACCATTGAACTATCCTGTTGAATTATAATTTGATCACTAACCCATTTTCTTGGGTTCTGAGGAGGAGAAAAGAGTTCCCTGGAAACGTACAAATAAATTTTGCAATAAAATACTAATTTTTGATTAATTTATTTATGACCAAGAGGAAAATGAACCACTATATTAATATTTGAATTAAATAATATTATCGTTTCAAAATCATATTTTTTTTCATTGCATAATTCTATATTTTTCTCTTGAACTTTTTAAGTTATCTTTACAGAATATATACGAAACGAAATAAGGTTTGTGATCATAGAAAAAATAAACAAAACCAGTTTTTTTTTTGTGCTGTAATTATATTGATTGATCACCTAATAAATATCTTCATTTAACACCATGTCAACACGTATCCTAAATTAAAATATAGTTCGGATAACTTTAGGTATCTGTCTTTGTATATTTCTGTAGCTTGGAGGTAAAAAACACCATGCCCATCTTTGTATTAGTTAAGGGAAACCAATGCTCCGTATTTTTGAGCTATTATTGTTTCTTTGTTACTAAATCTGTAATCCGAAGGTGAAGTATACCCTTCCCTCTTTTTTTTTTTTTTTTTTTGTTTGCTCAGGGAGCCAATTATCCATTATAAATTATCCGTAAACTATTAAAATTTATTTATTAATTAATAAATCTGTAGTCCAGAGGTAAAGGACGCCGTTTTTTTATTTGTTCAAGGGAGCCAATATTCCATACTTTTGTATATTACACTTGCCTGATAAATTATTTAATGAGAAAATGGCCATGGCGTCGTTTGCCTCCGATGCACAGATTGGTTAATAGAAAAAAAAACTAAAGCTAATTTATTCAAATATTTATCTTATCTCTAGTCAGTCAAAACAGATAAGTTAAAAGAAGAAAAAACATCTGATCATTACTCTAACTTTTCAGTCCTATGAAGTTTTAATTTCATTACAGCTAAGGCCACAAGTTTTTTAAACATAGCACAAGTATTTGATTGAGCTTGGCGATAGAAACTTCTGAATAAAATCAAAGCTCTTCTACTTTTTTTTCTTCTTTTTTTTATTTATATGTACAATGTAACTTTGAATCATTAATTACAAAGTTTAAAGAAACTAATGTTCTATCATAAATAAAATATATGTGTTAATGACGAATGAATGTTTTAAGAACGTTTAATGCATATAAGTCCGACAAACAATAGCTTATATGTAACCAACAAAATCCTTAGTATCTCATTTAATATAGACTTGTCCCCCCAAAAAAAATATCCTAATTCCACCAAAACATCACATTATTAGTGTATTATTTCCGTAATAATTTTAGAAAGTAATTCGAGCAACGTGCCCAGTCAATCTCAATCTATCAAGCTCCATTAAATGAATGATGTCTGGCTCCTTAAACAAATCTATTAGCTTCCGGTTTGTCCAACGTCAACTTTTGGTTTGTCCATATCTGGTCAACTTTTACAGCTCCAAAGATTTTGCACAAAACCCTCGAAGACCATGAGATTCTGCTCGCCAGTTTTGGATATAGTCCATGTTTCTGAGCCATAAAGGAGTATCGGCCGGATAATTGTTTTAAACTATATTGATAACTAAAAATAATTCTTGAAAGTATAGCAGAATATCACATTCATTACGATTCTTTCTAAAGATGTTAAATAAATTTCAAGAGAATATTATAACCAAAACACACAAAATAATTTAACTTTGCTTATTTATTTTTTTTACAATCCTAAACTGTGAGATATAATCCTATAGATGATTACTGTTTTCTTCGAAGGATTTGAGACACCTAAACCTTAATAAGTATATTGAAAAATGTCCGTCTTTGGTGACCTAGAATACGTTTAATTATCCGTGTGATGGAGTTATGCGCCCTGGTTTTCCGAAAGACATAATGCCATGACATTACCTGAGCCGGGTCTGCAATTACACTTATGAGACAGCTCTTGTATAATCTATTATCAACCTTATAATTAAAGTCTTTGCCTGACCTCCCCATCCCCTCGGAGGGAGCCGTGCTATTTCAACAGTGGAACCATAGATTAATAACCTATTTTATTCCGAATGTCACTGCTGACTGTTTTGTTGTTAATTCCAGTTCCATAATTGATAGATCCAATATTTAACATCGGTGAAGCCATATCTTGTCTTAACTAGTAAAACAATAATAACAACAGAACACATTTTTCACTATGTTTTTTTACTGATCTACTTCTTTGTATATAATTTTGAATTGATGGTTGACTGTAGCGAATAATTGAAGAGAAGATTGGTTAGGGTGTTCAGTAAAAAAAAAAATTAAAAATAAATAATAGGGGTTGATGACCATAGGGTTTTATGCCTTAAAGCCCAAATAAACAAACGAACGAAAATAAATAATTGGATGAAGTTAGTCGACTGTTATACATATTATGGGTGATAAATATTCTGGACGCAGTCATTATAAAATTTTTATTAGTGCCGACGTTTCAACCAAAACATCTGGATCATCTTCATATATGGGTCATCGTCAAGTGCGTGTTTCGAGCACTTGAGCAATTTGGGTTGAAACTTCGGCACTAATAAAAACTTTATAATGACTGCGTCCTGAATATTTATCAACCAGATAAAAATAAATAAATTATATTTATTTTTATTTTTGCCAAATTTTCGCCCCAAAGTTCAGGCCTTCCACCAGGAGCTAAGAAAAAAACACCATGGGCGAAGAAAAAAACAGATAACACTAAGTATGAGAAAGTATTAACATTAAAAAGGAAATAATAATATGTAGGTGAAATGTATAGTTTAAAAAATGTAGGTAGAATAAACTTAAAGTAATGTGGACAGAATCAATTTAAAGCAAATATAAAATAACAATAACAAAATTATAAATAGAAAGTGGCTGAAGCAATGTTAGGTTATATAACATATCAAAGTTAAGAAATTGTGAATAAAATAATAACAGTAACAGAGAACTATGAAATAAATAATAACAGTAATAATATTAGGGACTAATAAAATAAACATAACGAAATAAGGTAACATAAGAAATGTAAAATGAATTAACAACGAAACGTAATGGAATATATGAGATGGAAAACGTAAGTGTAGACATATAATAAATAGGGCGACGTTGTTGCTAAGATATTATGTCTTGGTATGCTGAAAGGAAGTGAGATAATCATAGAATAAGATGTAAAATAGAGAGAAAAGGAATACAAAGTTATATAAATAAAATAAAATATATGAATAGAAAAATTAAGTTACTGTAAAATATATCAAAACATACTGGCTACGTATAAGAGAATTAAAATAATGGAAATAAGATGTAATGAGCAAATGTATCAATCAATATACACAAAATAGAAGCAGAGATATGGAAAATGATATAACGGGAAAAAGACAAATTTTTTGTAAAGAGATTTATTTTTTATCATACAATTATGAATGTTTATTTAAAAATTTCTTAAATAAGCTATGTAAATATTTTTTTATTGGCTGAGATTTCGTGACTTATAAAATAAATTTAACTTTCATTTCTGCCTCATTATTTTTTTTTTTTTTTTGGTAGCTAATATGTTGTTACGCTATCCTTTTTTAAAAAAAAAAACACATCTTTAATAAATACAGACACACACACACACATATATTTTTTTCCCCTTTCCTTTACACAAACCATTTTCTGCCACCCACTTCATATTCAATCTACCACAAATATGGAAGAATTATTTTTAGTTTAAGATGAAATTAAAATTTATAATAAAATGTTTTGGCTATATTTATTCCACCATTTTTATTTTTTTATTACCTTGGTAAAGTTTCAGCTATGTCGCCATCTGTAAGCCTTAATTAGCAATTAGTTTAATGATAAAAAGAATACATTCAACATAATATGGTAGTGACCTTAATCATTTCTTAAACCCAATATTATATTAATCATGTCCTTTATAGGATTTTGTCAATAAGTTATATATTAATTCTGTTAAAAATAAAATAAGAATTTTATTGTATCAATAAAAAAATACATGTATCAGAGCAAGGTCAACAAAGTATATTTTTGTATGAAACTAACTGCTAATTAAGTCTTACAGGTGGCTTGAAAATGGCGACATTGCCGAAAGGTTGCCAGTGTTGTAAAAAAAAAAAAAAACGGTGGAATAAATATAGGCAAACCTTTATTATGTAAGAATTATTTTTTTCTGTAATTACGATTGCTACTAACAATTAATTGACAAGTACCTTTCTCCTTCCTTCCAATTTCATCATTCCAAATGTGCATAATCTGAACTTTGACATTATTTTTAGAGGACTTTAGCCCAATTCATTTCACGCGGTCCCTTGCTTACCATTGCACTCTTAGTTTTGTACATGCGTAAAGTGTACACAACAGACCTTAAGGTTAAAAATATTTATTTGATCATACAAAATAGTTCTGAAAAAGAATTGTTTTTTCTATTCTATTCTACATTATCAAAAAACTAGGAATTTTGAAATCTTTGAACACTTTTCGTACTAAATTTTAAATTAAAAATGAATCATTACTGGACATATATGGTTTAAAAGGTGCTTATAATAAATTTTGATGTTCTCACTTTGACTTAAATATATTACTAACATTTAGAATAACCCATTCTAACTATTCTAGTTGGAGTACACCGGGATATTAAACCTTGTCTCTTCGGTATTTTCTTTCTACGATACTTGATACTTATGAAGGAAGATTATAGTTTATTCCATCGCTTACTATTCGCCTCTCATCCAGGAAAACATAGCTATACCCATTCCCTGATTGGATACTACACAGTGACATAACGCTAGTTAAATTGAACACTGGGTGGAAGACGAACGGTCTTATGCAACCGGTCACAGTTTGCAAATATTTAGGTAACAGTGGTAACGTTATTACGTAACCGTTTCTTTGGATCTATCTCTAAACTTGCTATTAAGGAGACCAATGCTTGTTTATGCAATTTAAACCGCAATTATTTAACGTTATTCTGCTATCCCAAAGTAGTCGTACGTTTCTGCAAAACGGTGAAATAGTTGACCATAATTTGTTAATTAAGGCAGAATATATTGGTGTATGCAGGGGAGGGCATCCTAAATAATTTTAAAAAAGAGGTAGCAAAAAGGTTTGTTAAAAATCCAAGAAAAAATATACTTTGAGTTCTAAGTGAAAATCCTAGCTGAACACACCTCCCTGAAGAAGACCTGCAAAGTCGGGTAAACGTTGGCTTTTAATAAAATAGTTTTACTTCTATTTAGCCTATTTATGACCGCCACACCGGACCATCTCCTTCCTTTATAATGCTACGGTCAACTATTAAATATTCAAAAATATTAATAATTTGGAATAACAATAAACTATTTAGTACAACATGGAATCGTTTTTTAAACTGAAATTCATTTTTACCTCCCTCTCTTCTAATATAAAAGCTGCGTACATCGTGATGGGATAAATTTAAAACTATTTGAAGTATGAGTAACACTACTTCCTCACTTGGTACTGAATCCAAGACCCTTCATGGGTTGCTAGTGGTACAAGTTTTTTAATTTTTATATGAAATATGATTAAGTCAGGCAATACTTAACAATGTTTGTAGTGCCGTAAGGCAATCCTCCACAAGTAATAAGGTCTAATCTGAAATTTCTCTATTGTTGCGATAATTTACATCTATTAAGAAGTTTTTTTCTTTATTTAAGGAGTTTTAATCTTCTTTTATCCTTTATAATTTTTATTCGATTTTCTTTCTAATATACCTTCGTCTAACGACCACATTAAAACCCAAATTCTGGAGGTCAGCAATAGCGCAATCTTCCCACATAAACCTTGGACGATTACCAGTCTCTTCAGTGCCAATTAAATTTTTAGGCGGCAGGTCATTGCTAAACCGTTTTACATACCCATTTCAACTATCGACATGATATTACTCCAATTATATGAACATTAATAATAATAAGTTTATTTACCCGCAAGGGACTATGAATGGATGCAGTTACTGGGGGCTCCTGAGTACACTGCACCATCCACTAACAGATCCAAAGCACAAAACATAAAACAATAGTTTACTTAAATAAAATTTTACAATTTACAAATATGTACGTAATAATCGTTCATGTTTTGGTGTACAACATTTCACATTACAGATAATATTAAGATCATTGGATATAAAATTAAGTACTATTCCTTTGTTGATTTTGCAATAGAAAAAAATAATAATAAAAATTAAAATTTAATGAACAATAATATGGGTGATAAATAATCAGGACGCAGCCTTTTTTTAAAAAAAAAAAAAATTATTTATGCCAACGTTTCAACCCTTAACATGTGGGTCATCTTCAGGGCGTGATTTGAGCACTGAGGATGTTCAAGTATTCAAGTACTCGAGTACCTGAACATCCTCAGTATTAAAATTAAAATTAAAAAAAAAAAAATACTGTTTATCTATCCTGATTATTTATCGCCCATGATATGTAGAACAGTCGGCTAACTTCTTTCAATAATTCATGAACAATAATAATAAAATAAAAACTATATAAATTTTAATAAACACATGTAGTATATGTTGTATATAAGTTAATTAATCAAGACTAAACTAAAGTAAGTTCTCTATGAATATCTTATAAAATATAATTTTAGTCAGTTTTTATTCGAGTATAATATGCTTTGTACGGCTGTGTTTGTACCTTCTTTGCTTATTTTAATTGAATTATTGTTTTAATTAAATTATAATTATTTACTGAAGTTTGTTTGTTTATTTGGGCTTTGAGGTGTAAAACTCTAGGGTCAACGCCTGTTTGCTCTTTATTTTTATTCTCTGAAGCTCAGAAACTCCTTAGAGAAAAAAAAAATAATAATAATAAATAAATTAATATATATATATACATTTTATTTACTGAAGTATTTCTTGATTTAAAAAAAAAAATCTCGGTCTGGGAATATATGAATTGTTTAACTGTCTGAAGTTCTAAATCATATAACATTTTAGTTATTATTGTGTACCTATATTAATACTAAATGCATTCTTATTTTATAAAATATTCATCTTAAGTTTTATAAAAGTATTGTAATATCTTCAGGTATGGGAAGAATGGGTGAGATGTTCCTCAGCTTCTCAATCCTAACCAACGGAAGGAAGATTTTGGACTGTGGAGCTCCACCCAAGGATTCTCTCACATGCGTACATGGCCTAAGGTTCCTAAGTTTGGCTTGGGTCATCATGGTTCACACTTATTTGCAAATTTTTGCAATTGCAGGTAACGTTAAATTATTTTACTATTTTATATATATATATATATATATATATATATATATATATATATATATATATATATATATATATATATATATACAGGGTGTTTCATAATTGCACGGCACTATTTTAGGTTCACTTACACAAAATAAACAAAAGAGTTCATATTGACATATATCTCAAACTCATTTATTAAACAGATATCAAAGGTTAAAGATTTATTGTTTATTATTACTATTTATTTATTATTATTACAACATTTAGAGTAACTGTTCAAAGGGGTCTCCGTTTTGTTGAACGCAACATTAAGCACGACGAATCCATGCTTCTCTGGATCTTCGTATAGCATAAGGAAGGTGTTTCATAGTTACTGCGGCTTCCACGATCCGATTTCATAGCTCTTCTTGCGTGCCAACTGCCACATAATAAACAATAGACTTCATCCAGCCCCACACAAAATAATCTAATACGGCGTCAAATACGGAGATCGTGGTGGCCATTTAAGAGGTCCGTTTCGACCAACCCATCTAAATTACATAAATTTGTTCTCATCCAGTTTGGCAAAATGTATAATATCTTAAAAAAAGATTTAAATTAAAAAAGCCTTTACATTGCTTTCCTGTTTTTTTTTTCCTGTATTTTTTTTTCAACACTAAACTGTCTACATTGAAATGAAGAAAGAGATGGCTTATCTAGTATAGAGTTTGAATTAATAGCGTTTAATAAAATGACTAAATTTCCCAAAGATCAACGCTATAGTGTTCCAAATTTTGATGGAACGTAAATCTTGAAAAGTTAATTAATCAAATTTTCTGACAAGATTGATGACGTATCTGAACAATTTTGATGATATAATTAATCGATATCATTTACTTTTTCAATAAATTTTTTTGTACAGAATACATGCCTATTTAACTTTCAATCTTTAAACTTATTAGCACTAGTAATATATGGATGGTTGATACATTTAACGAAAATGTGTTGTTTTCCGTATTTCTTATTTTAATATAACAGTACACTTCTTTCTTTTTAAGTGTTATTTAATGAATTATTCTGAAATTGGAAATTGCTGAATATTAATCTGTACAAAACATTTATTATGTTGACTATCAGTATAATTTATGCTATAATTATATTAATAATTATATCTCTTCCAGAAAACAAAAATTTGAGAACTTTGACTGAAGAAAATTTCATGTTCCAAACAGTTGCGAACGCTACCTTCTCTGTGGATTCATTTTTCTTCATAAGGTAACTTAATTTTATTAAACAAATCAGTTATTACACAAATATGGATTTTTATATTTTAACTCACCGTTAACACCTTCTAAACCCATTTTAAACTTCAAGTTACATTGTTCAAGATAAATATATATTCAAACATTGAAAAACAGAATTATATTCTGCAAAGATAAATTTGTTACTTGGATACTTTCAGTTTACGAGTTACTCCAATTATCTTGTTGATTTTATAATAGTCTCTTCTATTTCTTCTATAAAAACTTATGAAATTAGTTAAGACTTCTCATTTTATTAAAGATTTATCGCAGTTTTAACCAACGAATAACCAAACAAACCATCAAAAATATAACTAATCTACATTTTTATCAGATGATTTGACGTTCCGCATTTTATTTACGAGTAATCATTTTCTATTTTCATTATTGCCTTAGTGGTGTTTTATAAATATTCCATGATGAATCCAACTTGTAGATTTTGATGAAACTTTTGAGGTAAAGATTGGCTTTAAAATATTGGAATATTAGCCGCCAACGAACTCCTTCAGAAACACTAAAAACAAATTTGAGAAACTTATTTTTTATTTATTTTTTAAAATTTCTTTATTGAGTATTACAACAATCTGTCTCTTGGACATTGGTTATAGTGAGGTAGGATGACATTCACACTATATGTACAAAAAAAAATAGAAACAGAATAATCAAAAGTATATACAATAGATAATAAAATAAAATAACCTAAAAAATAAGAAAATTAAAACTAAACAAAAAAAAAAGAGCACTGAGAAGCTTATTAGTGAAAAACGCTTTCTTTTAATTTGTCTCTGACTTTTATGTAGGTTTCAAAATTTTGTAGGTACGAAAGTGTCTCTACTGCCAAGGGTGGGAAAAACAAAAAACTAAAAATTAATAGTGACAATGATAAATTAATTTCATTTTTTTAAGAAGCTTTCAATATATTCAAGTAGGCTAAATTCATTAAGCTTGGTAGCGATAATACAAATTTCCAAAACATTTTTTTCAAGATTTTTTTCTGGATTTTAAGAAATGTCGTCTTTCTCAGAAGTCGAGCTCGAATGATGTCTTCACTCCTACTCTGAAATATGCATTCGTAATGTTTATGAAAATCGAAAGAGATTTTTTTTTTTTCCTAAGAATGCGCCCAACAAAGCCGTCATCCCTTTGTGGTTTTTATAAATAGTTTTGGATATTTCGCCTACTTCACATCCCTTCTGTGGAGGAATCAGAAATTTTTACTTTAATTTATACCATAAGGCGATGTGTTTTGACGAATGAGGCATTTTCAATTATAACAAAACTTTATTTTTTTAAATTTTGAGTGGAATTATAGTACAAAATTTTGGACCAGAAATGAAATTTATATGATTATTCCCTTTTTTTTGCAAATTCATTACTGCCAGAGATTTTGCGATGTAAGTCATTTCTTATTACAGGTGACGTTTCAATTCACGTGCACCATCAATATGAACAAATTGTTAATACTTAATAATATTTGTATTTATTAAAAACAAAAAAACTCGAACTTTATTTGATTGGCTTCATATTAAAGACGGACATCTGTCATGTTACGAAAATGGAGAAAAAATCAATTTTCTTTTTATAGGTTCAATTCAAATTATTTATGATGATTTTACTAAAGAATGTTCAAGGTGGATCATAATTAAAAGTAATTAAACCAGTGACGCAACTGGAGATAAGCACTGGGATCTCCTTGAGTCCTGCATTGTCTTCCACATTTGGGGGACAAAGCTTGATTCAGAGTCCCTTGGGCCGATGTAAATATTGTACATAGGTGTGAAAATGTCTTATTTATTTTATTACCATTCGTCTATAATCTGTTATTTTAATTATCTTGTATATTACTTTATCTTTTTATTTATCTATATAAACCATCGAATTCCTCTCTTATCCAATCCCTACAATCCAAAATCCTTCATAAAATCCTCAATGGTCCTTACTTTGTCACAAATAAAATAATCCATTAAGACCTTAATGTTCCATATGTTTCCAATTTGGCCCAAACTAGATACCTATCTTTCCACAATAAACTTCACGATCATCCGAATCATCTTGTTTCTAACCTTGCTTCCTCTTCGATTCCTGATAATCCTCAGAGGCATCTGAAAATAAGATGGCCGCGTGATCTCCTTATGTAGACATATTATTAGAGTTCAACCAGAGGGCAGTTTCTCAACAAGCGTTTTCAGGTGATTATATTTCCGTGTTCACATTTACTTGATGTATTTATATTAATACAGTTATAAATATCATAAATAAAAAAATATATATATTTTTTTTTTCTACTTTGGTTTTTTATATTTATTTTCCTTTCTTATGTACATATTGTGTGAATGAATAGCTCTAGTACCAATTCCATTCAGTGTGGCATACTGTATTAATACTCAATAAAATCATTTTATAAAATAAATAAATAATTATAATTAGTTTAAATTGAAGCTATATTACAGAAATAAATTTTTTATTCTATCCGAAGCTTATAATAATAAATATTTTCATAGATTCTATTTTTTGTTTTAAACCTCAAAATTATGAAGAATTTCAAATGATTTGGTGGGATACTAATAATGTTTGAAATATCTTTACTTCGGCTGAGTAGCATTTACTTCAATTTCCAAACTTCCTAAATTTACAGATTATCTATAGAATATTATTATCTAGTTCATGTCCAATCCGATCCTATACAATGACTCTACTTTGGATGTGCAATACAGAAACTAAACTTGGGGCAGTGTATTAAAAAAAAAAAAAAGTGATCTAATAAAAATAACATAAGCAATTTTTTTATAAACAAACCTATTTCCAGTGGTTTGCTTGTCGCCTACCTGTTCTTCAAAAGCTCAGCCAAACCCGAAGGCGAAGCGGCCCTCAGAACTCCACGGGCACTCAAACCCCTGTCTATCGAGTTCAGGGATATCATGGTCAAGTTCTTCACCTTCCTGGGATACAGATTTATCAGGTCATTCAAGATTATATGACACATTGATAGAATTTAAGTATGTTATAATTGTGATGTGTAATTATTAACCTTTATCCGAAGACTGACCCCAGCTTACATGTTCGTCCTGGGCTGCGCTGGCCTGGCCATGAAGTGGCTCAAGAACAACTCCGTCTTCGAACCGATCAGCTTGGACAACGTCAACTGCGACAAATATTGGTGGAGGAATATGCTTTACATCAACAGCCTCTATCCGAGAAGTGAAATGGTAATAACCTTATGTCGTATCATATATTCAAAAACCATACAAGAAAACTTTTAATTGATAATTTAATTAAATGTTACAGTGCATGCTCTGGAGTTGGTATTTAGCGAACGACACCCAGTTTTACGTGTTAGGAACATTGTTATTGCTGTTGTCATCAAGGTATAGTTTAATTATCAAGTTTTTTTTTAAACTTTACATTTACCCATTTTATTCTAGAATATTGTAATTGGTAAGTATTTTCAAAATTAATGGTAAAACATTGTGGATGAAGAATTCAAGGATATTAAAATTAAGATTTTGATCAATCGTCCAACTTTCAAAGTGCTGTGTTACAATGTAGTGAATTCATTTCGCTGGTGGGTACAGCCATTAAAGATTTTTATTTTATTTTTTTATTTGTTTGGTATTGTGGGTACAACCATTAAAGATTTTTATTTTATTTTTTTATTTGTTTCAAATATACAATGGTGTTCATTGTGCGTAATTATTGGGAACCCGTTAGCTCAGTGAAAAATAAAATTTATGTATTTTCGAAATTCTTTAATATTTGTGAATTTCCGAATCATACCAGCTATTCCCAACAATACTGCTTGTTGTATATTTTGGTTCGTTTTAAACACTACGTCTAGTTGGCAAAGAATATAGTTTCATCTGGTTTTAGTCCATTGAATGAGATCACAGTCGGCAGAATTCCGGCTTCCTTTGAACAATACAATTGTTTTATACAATTATTATATTATTAATAATATTTTTTTAATAGGTTTTTCAGGATAGCTGCATCTTCTTTGGTGATGATTTTGATAAGTTCTTGCGTCACTTGTGCCGTGATATCATTCCACTATGAACACGTTGTCAGGTAAGTGATTAAGAAGTGATCAGAAATTTATTTATAATATAAAATAATGCTTTATAATAATTTTAATTGATTCTTAAATGTTCTTTATCTTTTAGCGTGAAGGAACCATTCATCTTATTCGATCAGCTGTACGACAAACCATGGACCAGGATAGGACCTTACATCGCAGGACTGTTTACCGGATGGTTTCTTCACAAGACGAAGTGTTCTATTAGGATGTCAAAGGTAGGATGCAAGAAACCAATCGTTTACATATTATAAGATTTTTTTAAAAATCATATTTTTTTCATTAAGAAAAAACAAGAGAGTACTACCGTAAACGAGAACGTGAAATACAATGGGGTTTTCTCTCTTCCTATAACGGAAGAGCCCAATATTTTTTTTTGTAAATTAAGACACCAATCTTCAATGATTGAAAAAATTATTTAAAGAACAAAATCCAAAAATGGATGGAAGTAGCGTTATAAAGATAAATATGGTGAAGAGCACCGATAGCTCCGAATGGTAAAATAAATGAGATTGTAAAAAGAAGGGTTTTGTTTTTTCTTACTTCAAGAATAATTTAACAGTCTACCTATTAAACATAATATTTTTTGTTGTTGAACATCTTATTAGATTGATTGATAAATAAATTTATATTTCTTTTCTTTCGTAAAAGTAAAGATTTTATTAATATTCTATTGAACCGTCGAATTGCCCACATCGCATCACATTATATGTCATCCATTCGCTTACTGGCAGATTGATATCTTTTTCACGTGGCCTTTTTTTTTTTAGTCAGAGAATGAATGACATGGCGTGATGTGGTCTTGGGTTTGTTTTGATTCCTGATAATGCCCAAATTGGAGACACTTTTATAAAACGTTTACTTTACGGTTTATTTTATTCTTTACCTGAATTTCAAAGACACTAGGCTATGTGGTTAAAATTTTATAATTTTATTATTAAGTTAAATTGTATACCCAATTATAATTTGAAATGAATAAAACTTTTAAAAAATTTTTAATCTTAAAAAAAAATCGACTGCACTTCAGGTCGAAATGGCGGCAAATGTTAAAATAAATATTATTATTTATTTTTGCCTTCTTATTTCTGACTGATCACCCCAACCATCCTTCTCTTCATTATTTTATTATATAACACTTCTATATTTTTTTCAAATGTCATAAAATATTTATTTTCTGTGTGTCAAGCTGAAAATGAATTTTCAAATTTGTCATTTAGTTTTTATGCGATTCCAATTGAGTTGTCTAGAACCATTAATTTTCTATTCAACAAGATAAAAGTAGAAATTTTTAACTACATCATACATTGATCATTAGTTTTTCGGCATCTTCCATGATCTTTTACGGATTTTTATGTTGGATAATAATTTTTCTGAAATCTTTTTCTGAAATCAGCTCTCTAATGGTATTCCGAAACCGGCAGCATTTCAATCATCCATAATAGTGGTAGAGTAACATAAGTTAAATTATTTTGGAGGGAAAGTACGTGATCACCTCGTTAAATGCAAACCTTCAACTGTTATGACTTGTCCTTAACGGATCATGAAGTTTAAACTCTAATGTTTCACAAAACAGCCGCTAGAGTATCCTAAAAGTAAAGTATAGCTAGTTATAAAGAAATCAGTCTCTAATTGTTGATTAAGTTGTTTCTTTAAATTTCTCCTGTATAGTTCTATCGCTGCTTATTTCTCTCTCTTTGGGTATGGATCCTCAGAAGAATACTTTCTGATTCATAAATTTTCTTCAAAGTTTTCTAATTTTTAAGGCAGTGTATATAAGTTCTTCTGTTTATTTATTTTTTTTTATTTGTACCTAGTTTGTGAATTTTATCTTGCCTCCCTATGTCCATGCGGCAGATTGTTATATTATTCAATAAATAAATAAAAAATAAATAAATAAACACTAGTCCGCAGGTTCCCGAAAAAGGATGATAGTTTTAGTAAATGCAGATATTTTTTTAGTTTGTACTTAACGTGCAACGTTCTGAAATTACAACTGTACTACATGAAAAATACAACAAATAAATTTGAAATTAGTAAAACAGGATGAGAAACTACCCATTGGTAGCACTCAAGTTATAGTTCTATATTAGAAGGTCCCGACGGCATCTTCTTTTCAAACGCCTCGGAGATTTATTAGGAATAGAAGAGTAAGCAAGGTTAGAAACAAGATGGTTCGTTTATTATTAAAGGAAAAGTATCTGGACTGAAATTAATCGGAAACCAGTGGTACATTAAGTTCGTAATGGATGATTTTATTTGTGTATAAGTAAGGAGCATTCATGATTTTACGAAAGATTTTGGATTGTAACGATCGGATGGTTTAGTATAATCCCAAAACTCGATCTCGTAAGTGCAAATCGACCTTATTATTGTAATATATATGAGTCTTTTGTAAATAATTGGAGGTTTAGAGCGTTTGTCTAGTAAGTACTGGAGTAGTTGAAGTCGTCGAACGGTTTCTAGTATTTCACTCTAGTATGAAGATTCCAAGTGACTCGTTTGTCCAGCTGGATTTCTATTTATCGGAAAGAAAATATAAATAAATTAATTCATTGCAATAAAATACATAGTTTATCTAAATAAATATAATGTAGGCATTGAATATTATGTATTATATGTCATCGTGATATTTTGACATATGTAAAATCAGTATAAAGAAATTTTGCAAACAATAGATAGAAATGATAATAAAATTATTCAAAACGCCTGTATCCCATCCTAGACTCTAATCATATTATCCCTGATCACCAATTTGGATTCAGCACATCGCATTCCACTATCCAACAATGTCACCGTATGGTTGATGTAGTCCCCTCTGCATTGGAGCGCGGTAAGTACTGCACGGGAGTCTTTCTCGACGTTGAACAGGCGTTTGATCGAGTCTGGCACCCGGTCTTCTGTACAATCTCTGAAAAGTCCTACCCCCTACATACTTCCTCATTATCCGCTCCTATCTTACTGATAGATACTTCAAAGTAAACCAAAATAATGTCTTCTCTTCCCTCTTTGCTCAATCTGCAGGCGTTCCACAAGGTAGTATCCTCGGTCCCATCCTCTACACAGTTTATACAGCTGACATCCCAACCCATCCTGACACTGTCATCACCACTTACGCCGATGACACATGTTTGCTATCTGTTAATAACTATCCTTTAATTGCATCCCAAACTCTTCAATCACATTTCACAAGCCTTGAAGAATGGTGTAAAAATTGGAGAATAAAAATCAATTCCAACAAATCCCATCAAATCACCTTTACCCTCCGTCGTAAACCTATGACTTCTTGTCCTATAGTATCCTTCAATAATACTTCACTTATTCCTGTTGAGCAAATCCGCTACTTAGGACTCCACTTGGATAAACGTCTTACTTGGAATCCTCATACTAAACTGAAACGACAAGAAACTGCTTGACGTTTCCGACTGCTCCAACACTTACTAGACAAACGCTCCAAACTTTCAATTAATTACAAAAGACTTATCTACATAACTATAATAAGACCTATATAGACATACGGAGTTTTCCTTTCATGATAAACTTCAGTCCCATCCAAATCCGCTTGTTTCCACTCTTGCTTCTTCCTCGATTCCTCGATTCCTCCTAGGCGTCTGAAAAGGAGATGGCCTCGTGATCTTCTTACTTAAAATTATTTAGAGAGTGCTACCACTGGATAGTATCTCTTCAAGCCTGTACATGCCATTATTTATATTTGCGCATATTTACTAGTTGTATTTGTATACAGTTGTAAATTTCATTAAATAAACAAAAAAAAATATTCAACTTTATATCGCATCAATAATTAATTAAACTAAAATACACAGAGCTTTTATATTATCGGATTCATGTTATTAAATATATCCCTGTATCTCCATCCTCGGGATTGAGAGGGGAAAAAAATCTTAGTTACCAGTTCTTTTAATAGCACTCTCAACAGAGTTTAAATAGGGTTCTACTTTTTAACTCTATTTTAGCTCTTCTTCGTCCTCTTGTAGAGAAAAAAAAAAGTTGTTAAGTAGAAGTCGGCTGCTGAACCAAGTTGGATGAATAAAGTTAAACCCGTAAGAGAGGAGCTTTCGGCTAAAGGTGGAATAAAAGGAATAAAATCCTTGAGATAGGACCTTATTCGCGGAGGCAGGTGGCGCAAGAGAGAATATAAGTTATGCCAGCCGGTATATTGGGCTTTAGTAGAACAGCTGCCTCCAGTGGAACAATAAGCCCACTCCTGCTTCTTCCTCTGTGGTCATCTACCATCCCCCTTAGTTCGGGGTACGCAATCCAGTCGGCTCATCTCCCATCAGGAAGAGATCGATGGCCGTATTTATCAAGACTAGTTTTCTAAAAAATAAATACAATTCTAATATTCAAGACGGAGGATGGACACAACAGTGATGGACATAGCTAAGGAAATTTTCGTCTTATGCCGCCGTAATTATTATGATTATAAACTTCTGCGTTGAACATTTAGAATCTCTGGGGTCTGCTCTTTAAAATTGAAAAAATATTCAGTTATGCAGGTATAATCACTATTTTAAAAAAACACCTTTTTGCACTAGTGATGGTCACATTCACGAAATTCAATTGATCTAGTAATGGACTGGAGGTCGGTACCAGTAATGGACATACCTCAGAAAAATTATAAAATCTTTATTCGACTATAAAGATGAGATAACATAAGTATTCTTCTTACTCTAAGCAAGACTGTTAGTAGGAAGCTAAGAAACGTATGCCAAGTAAGGTCAGTATATCTCATCTTTCTCACCGTTTTCATTTGTTAAAAAATATCTATATTAAGCGGACTAAAATTTTTCGTATTAAAATAAAATCTCTTAAAGAAGCCATTTTCGGAAAATCAGTAATCCCTCAACATAAACGGTACAACATATACAGTAGGTAGCAAAAAGTGTGAAGTAAGTCCCCGTATATTTTTTACTTCCTATTTTTTATGGTTTAAACAGCTAAAATATATCTAAAAATTATAGAGAACTCTTAAAGTGCGCACACACTAGGTGAATCTTCATTCGAAAATGCATTGCTTGGCTTGATATTCAAGAGTTTCGTTTATCAGCAAATATTAAAATGCGAAAGAGTTCCGCATTTGCAGTTTGAATATTTGATGATTCATAGTTTAAAAAAAAGATTCTAGTTCATATTGAATAATCGGGTGGTACAGACCCGTTTTTATCGAATTATTAACATCCGTCTAAAACATCGTAAATATTTTTATCTCATCGTAACCTACAACTGTTTTATTTACGAAAACTCTTGGGATTGGGGCTTTTTCAATCTAGAGGGGGCAAACTTTGTCTATTTAATTAGGTACTAAAAACTCGTAAATACCCATTTCCTTTCTTCTTGGATCTTAACATAATTTGATCACAAAATCGATAATAAAGGTGGACTACAAAAATATTTGGCCGTTTGTCATATATAGCAGAGTTATTTTGAAAATTTGGGGGTGTGGTTAACGCAAAACGGCCCAATATTTTTGAAGGCCATCTTTTTTATTGATTTTGTGATCAAATCATGTTTTAAAATTTAAGGTGGTTGTTAAAAATTCGAAAAATGGGTCTGTACCACGGACTATTGGGAATAAAGATCATGTCAGACGGCAGAGTATTTTTCTAGACCATATTTTTTCTCGCCTTTATGGTCAAATTATATCACGATTTTAGGCGAAAGCAAACGAGTGTTCGTGATTCTTCAGTACTTCATTAAGTATACGAAGTTTACTGTTCTTCAGATTAAAAACGCCCTATTCCCAAGAATTTTCATTTATAAAAAAGTTGTTTTTTACGATAAGCCATTAAGCCATTCGCGAAGTTTTAGATGGATGCTGATAATTTGATAAAACACGGTTCATATCTCGGGCAAACAAACCTTTCTCCATTAAATTCAATCGAAACCTAAATCTCAAGATAGGACTTATAGGAAGGGTAAATTATTGGAAGAAGAATCAATTACTTAGGATAAACAAACCATTTTTACTAAAAGTTTATTACCATAAACTATAATATTTATAAAAATGCATACCATATTTTGACATAATAATTAACATAATAATAACCGTTGAGTTACATGGTAGCCTGTGAAATAACATATTTTGATTATTATTACTAATTATTCTAACTAACATTGTTATACTTTACTATTCCATCGAGATATTGATACCGATAAGCTCATCCAGCCATGTGGCAACCCTTATTGCTTTTCAAAGCCAATGTAGACGACCTTAATTTGACACGTTTGAACTCTCAAATGACCAATGATAACTTCCTGCCGGATGGCTCTAACATATAAAAAACTACTTTATGGTTTTCTTAGGGTTGTCCATAATTTTCCCTTCTGTACTAAATGCCAACTTTCCCACGGAAATTGGACCACACACAGTATTATCCAAAGATGAGTGCACAAATATATCTCCCCTCTCTCCTAAACCACTTGACCCCTCTCTTAATCTCTGCATATAATTATAGTTATAAGCTCTTAACAAGTCCTGAACTCAATCACTTAACAGTAGTTTAGAATTCGCAACCTAGTTTGTTGATTTATGTGCAAACTACCTCTAAATTAAGGACCGTCTGATTAAAACAAAAAGATGTTAAACAAACTACCTTTCTTTTTAGCATTGAAGTACAGGGAGAATTTCTTTATATTTTTCTTTTTTCATTTTTCATCCGACTGTATATCATTGTCACTATATTCATTATGAAGTTTTTGTAAGTACACCTGTGAATACTACCGGTAAGTCAGAACTGTCTAAAACATCGTTGTAGAATATTGGAAATCGGCATTAATCGTAAAGATTTTTGAAATGAAACACTACATAATGCTTTATATAATTGTTAAATATCAGTTACCAACTTGTTAAATGGATCTCTATTGCATTTCATTAATTTAATGTAATCCCATCGTTTTTTTTTCCTATACCTGCTTATGGCTTAGAAGACAACTGGAAAAAGAAAATTGCGTGTTTTGGTTACGTTCTGTGCAAGTTTTAATTAAAATGCTCAAAATTGAGCCTTTTATATGGCTTGCTTTAATAATTATCCCAGGAAAAATGTCATTCTCGTCACGTAAGAAATACATTTATAGCTATTTCTTTTGCGTTTGTTTTAGAAATCTGAAACCCACTTGTCGGACATGCAATAATCAATAATCCCTGACAATATAATTGCAATTCTTCGCGCAATGTTTTGGTCAGTTCTGTTGTCAAGCACGGTGTTATAAAACTAGTTGTTGAGCACTGAGATGACGAAAAACTTTAATATTATATATATATAAAAAAGTAATAATAAGAAAAGGTATAATAATAAATAATAAAAGAAATGCTCATCAAAGGAAGAATATCATTTTAAAAAACAACAACTAAGGTGTGTTCTTTGGTCCACACGATAAGAGTGCAAATATTAAGGCAAGATTAATAATAAGAAATATAAATTGTAAATAATAGACCAATACAGAGAGGATGACATGTTCAACGATTACATCGCTTACAGTATGCAGGTCCGATTTTTAGTTTCTGAGATATTTGTACTCCATATGTTCAACTAAACTCGTTATCATTTTGTTTTTGCAACTATCATTTTTTTTTTTTTTTTTTTTACAATTCTGTAATACAACGTCGCGTTAAGATACAACTTGGAATGATAGCTCATTGCAAAGAGAATGAAATGATGAACATTTTTTTGATGAAAATATGCGATTTTTAGTTGAGTACGATTTTTAGTTGCTGAAATAATGCAAAAACACTTCAGTTAGTCGACTCCAGCCGACTTTACCGTTACACTTCGGAAATCTGACGTCTCAATTTAATTCACTCTCCACAAAAAAAGTACAAAACTTGCCTAAAGAATTTTTCACTACAAAAAGAATTAAATAAATAAGGTTTAATTTACTATCTATCTTTGATAGTTTTCAAAATGTTAATGTCAGTAAACATTATGTGGTTGAATGGAGTTAAGTTAATACCAACCAAACGAGTGTACATTTAATACCATTCTACTGTCAAGGTACGATTAATTATCTGATTCTGAATAAGTTGGTAAACCACGAGACATTTAATGAACGTAATAATGGATCTTTTCAGAAATTCATCATACTGCATGTCCAATTTCAAGTAAGAACTATAGCATTTGTAAAGTTACACCTTATCATCTTTTTTCTTCTTGTGCCGCTCTTATAACGTATATCGATCTTGTACCAGCATCTCCTTGGTCTTCAAGTTCTTACTCTTCTGTCTAATCCTGGAAATATAGTCTACCCATTACAGTCGGAAATGGCCTTCTTCCAAAAACTTCCGTGGATCCTGTTTTTCAGTCATCGCGCCTTTCTTTCAGATTTGTGTAATTTACTCCTTAACAATCGAATTATTTCCATGTGTTGCTCTGGCTAATATAGTTTTTAAAGCTGAAGCACAAAACTAAAAGCTAAGGTTGCATGAAAAAATATGAATTTTTCTTACAAAATGTTTATACGGAAACCTTAACAATGAATCTAAATAAATTCAAAATGTATCAAAACTATAAAATGTTCGTCATTAGAAATTAACAGCCCTTAAAAAAAAACAATGATATATGAGACTCTTTGATTCTCAATTGATTCAAGGGATGGATATTATCCCAATCCCTTCATTATCTCAGAAGATAGATGCTATCACATGTCTCACACGATGTTATAATCTTTATTTTGTAGAAATTTAAATTCTTGCTGTTAATTATTTAATGTTAAATGTATGTTTCAGTGTGTCGCCCTGGTAGGATGGTCGCTGTCTCTCCTGGTGTTGGGAGCTCTTGTGTACGGCGTCCTGGATGCCAATTTGGGAGTCACCGGTTCTGCCCTCTATGTATCCTTAGGGCATACGGCCTGGGGGTTCAGTCTGGCTTGGATAGTAATTGCCTGCTGCTGTGGATACGGAGGTAAGTGATATCGGTGTAATAAGGCCTAAATGCTGCAAAATACTATTGATTTCAATTGCAATGAGAAAAAAAAAATAAAACCTTGCATACTGTTTGAAATTAATTCTTTTCACGATTTTTAAAACATCTATGAATATATGAATATAATTTATGAATCCACTAATTCTAGGCCAATCGTAAATAGCTTAACAATACATTATATTGATGATACATTAGGTTTTATGTTTTATACAATGAAACGTACTCATATATTGTTTTCTTGTGAGGTCGTAGTTGTACATTCTTTAAGGTGTTCATTTTTTTAAATGTTTTTAACATTTCAAAATAAAACAGTGCAAAATTATAACCCTTCTAATGTATCCATATCTGACAGAGTACTCATGTATCAGAGTACATGACTGACAGAACAAAATATGTATTTTATTGCTACCAGCTCAAATATATTTTTGAATAATGTATTTTATAACATATTGAATTTAAAATAATATTGATAAAAATGTTAATTAATCCAAAAATACGATAATCTTATGCTTCTCATATTTATTCTTATTTGAGATGGATACAATTTTAGGTTTGGGCGCCAATAATATTATTTATATTATATACAAGAATTATTATCAACCAATTTTAAACTAATTAGTGATGCAAAAAAAATGTTTCTTGATGATCGATAAAAAAACATAACCGCAGTAATAACCAATTAAATAATAATATGTAAAAAAAATATAAATTACATTGTTCTCTTAGAATTCTCTTAGTTGTCAAAAACAGCTGCAATATTATAACTATCAATTGATGAACTTAAATTATGATGGAAATTTGCTTGTTTAAAGTTTTAGTCTACTTCATAGATCTGACCCTAGATGTGTAATAGGATCTACTAAAAATAGGACTACTTTTGTTAAATTTTAAAGAATATTTCAATATTATTTAAAAAATAAATAAATTGATACTAAATAAAACATAAGCAACGTTCATTTTCAACTTTATAAGTAGGTATAAATTTAATTATAATTTAACCTTGTCCTCAGGATGCATCAACTCCTTGCTGTCCTGCAGACTGTTGCAACCCCTAAGCAGGCTCACCTACTGTGCCTACCTCATACATCCTGTTGTTATGGTGATGACCAGCTTTCAGATGGAGGGTCCTCTACATCTCCATAATCTTCTAGTTGTGAGTGATGATTTTTATGTTACCTATATTAGTTTAATATACCTATGTCTAATAAGTTATGCATACCTATTACACTAGTGTTGTACATTTAGAGTTAAACTTTTTTTGATTACAATTATTTTTTAAAAATCAATTTAATCATCAAAAATCAATCAAGTTTTTTAATATATCTAAATATTAATTCAATATATAGAAAAAAATAGGTATTTTGATAAATTGTATTTCAATACTTTTAATTTTCTAAAAGAAGGAGCAGCAATGTTTCTATATTGCATATCTGAAAAAAAACTTTAATTTATTTTTTTTGTAATGCTTATTACTAGGAACTTGACAAAAAATAATTAATTCCTTAAATATATTGACACACACAAAAATAGAAAAATGAATTAGTGGAAGAAAATCAATATTGAATGAAGTACTATAAACCAGTAAAATTGCTTAACATAAATAAAGTAAAGTAAGGAGGAAAATCAAATCAGATTTAATAATAACCAAAACATATCAGACTTTTTGGTACTATAATAATGAATTAAAGAAAAACAAAATCCTAGTAAGATTGAATAGAAGCAATAAAATACAATTAATTAATTAAGAATTCTTAGGTATCCGTGTTAAAACAACATTATTTTGATATATACACTAGTTAGAGAGCTTTAATTTTTTTTTTTTTTTTTTTAAACTTGGCTTTTTATTGTCCATCTTTAATATCGATAATATAATATGTCGACTAGTGGAGAAAATTATCAATATATTTTTTAACAACCTGGTTTTTAACATGATTTGTTAATTCATTATAATGTGTTGCTTTTGATCCTATAATCTCTAGAAAGAGGCCAAAAACTTTTTGAGTTTAAAGTAATAGACTTAAATATTTCTTGTTAAACTATTAAAATATTTTTTTATTATTGCAAATAATAAGTAATTTCTTAAAAAATAATGGTTATTTTATTTTATTTTATTTTTTTTTGTTTCACAACAGTTTATCCTGTACTTCGGCAACATTGTAGCTTCTTTTCTCATCTCCTTTTTCTTGTCACTGATGCTTGAAGCACCCGTAGTGAGGTTACTCAAGGTATTATTAACACCAATGATGAAAACATCAAGCTCAGAATAACATCAAAAGTTACCATCACTCTTAAGTTATAAATATGTATATAGCATTTGTAAATTTAGTGCGATTTTTGAATGTTGTGGATGTGCGTTAAGTATGACTGTTTTTTTAAGGATATAATAATGTAATTTAGGAACAAACTTGCATAGACTGCATTATTGAAATTAAGGTTGCAATTTGTGACTAATTTGAAGATGTTTTTTAGAAAGATAAAGCGAGAAAAGTATTTCCTGTGAATAAAAATATTGAAACAAACCTGTTTCTCTTACATATTTGTAATTTTTTTTTATGATGTAATGTTTGGTGACATAATTAACAATGATGCAGAATAAGGACACTTTTTTAGGTTCTGGTTATCAAATAATCATTTTTTATTATGATAAATTCTGTTTTAATCGACATAATACTTCAAATCCAGTTATCTATAGAATTGCTGTCGTAAACATTTAAAACAAATTTAAATTTATTTTCAAATATAAAAGATATATTGCTCATTGTAATAATTAAAGATCAAATTGTTAATAAGTAATTTCCTTATAATAATTTAATAATCCTGTTTATTAATAAATATTTATTTTTCATATTTATTAATAAGTTACATTAATTTTAAGTTGTGCTCATATGTAATTATTACATATCATATGATTGTGTTTAGATAAATGAATCAAATTTCAAGAGAAAATTTGACATAGATTTAATATTATGATTGGCATAATAAAAATTGGATTAAGAATAAAAATTATGGACATTGCTCATTGAGATAAACAATAAATGAATCATGAGCAATTGAAGTATCAACTTTTGAGTTCATGATTCAGTTATAAATTAGACTCAATGAAAAGCCGTTTTTGAGTTTAGGTAAACGAAAGAATTATTATAAATTGTATTGTTTTTTATGATTAAAATTTGTTACGAAATAAATCTTCGACAATATGTTTATGTATCAACACCCCTTCTCTCTGTATCCTTAAGGTGAGTTGTGATCAAATGTCAAATACTTTCGTTCACAATTTTGGACCGAATTCAACTATTTAACAATCCCTGTCATTACTGAAAATTTTGGTGATATTAATGTCAAATAAATGAAGTCAATGTAGAGATGTCACCTTTTCACACCTATATAAGTCAGGTAAGTACTTTTCATTTTCTATTTATCAATTTTCCAGTTCTGCGCATGCGTTAGCCCTAGTTAAACATACGTCAGGTCGTCTCTTAAAAAATTTCAATTATCAGTGGCAGTATACAAGCTTAATGTGAACAATTAGTGTTATCAGTTACATTAACAATTACGTTTGATACTGGACAAAAAAATAAGGTGAGTAATCACTTATTTACAACACAAGAGTGAACAGTGTAAATAGACCTTAGGTTAGTTAGATAACGGCCAGCCATAATACACATCGTTAATCTGACTAGTGGGCTGGAGCCCTTCGTCGGAAGCAGACCTGCGTTCTCCAAGCGCGCGTCTATATTTTCGTCTTCAATAAAAATTTTTTTTTTCATCGCCTCACTTTTATCAATTTTTCTTTTAAAAAATTAATATGAAATGCGATATTATCACATGCTAATGTCGAGTAAGGGCAAAAACACTAGGTCCAGGAGCCTCGATACTACAATTAGTTCTCCCATTAAAAAAAAGACAAGGCATTCAAAAAGAAACACTCCACCAGCCACACCAGGGAGCTCCATAGAAGAAGTTGAACCCCAACCTGGCTCCTCACAACAACCTAACAATTGTGAGACAACTCAAGCTATGGGCGAAGAATCGCCGTTTTTCACTTCGAATCCATTTGAAGTGCTTTCAAATATAAATAACGAACAAATGGAAGCAGCATCAACCCCCAGAGAACCTAAACCCCCACCAATATTTGTTAGAAATATTAAAAACTTTCAATTGATGTGTCATCAATTGAATAATCTAGTAGGTTCAGGAAAATATTTATGCCAAAGCCGCACCAATGACACTAAATTAATGCCCGACACTCCAGAAACTTACAGAAAAATGATAAAATATTTATCTGACACCAAGGCTGATTACCACACGTATCAACTGCGTCAAGAGAGGGCGCTCAGGGTCGTCATCAGAAGACTGCACCCATCTACACCAACAGATGCTATAAAAGAAGAGCTCATGGGTATGGGATTCCATGTTCGCCAGATAGTGAACATATTCAAGGAGGATAAAGAACAGCCTGGAATAAAAAATAAAATACCTCTTCCACTATTCTTCGTTGACCTTGACCGAACACCCGATGTCGAAAACATCTACAAGGTCACACGCCTTTATTATACAAGCGTTGTTGTAGAAAAGCCCTACAGCAAGCGCGACATCGTTCAATGCCATAACTGCCAGGCTTATGGCCATACGAAACGGTATTGTCATCACATTCCTAGATGTGTGAGGTGCGGTGAGCAACACAAAACAGAGGACTGTAGGAAGTCAAGAACTTCACCTGCAGTATGCGCTTTATGCCACCAAGGACACCCAGCCAACTACAAGGGTTGTCAAACATACAAAAATTTAAAAACACGAATGTACGCAACGCCTAGAGAAGAAGGGGCATCCAGGCCACCAAGACAACCCTCTAGAATAGTGAACGGAAGAGTGTCCTATGCTCAGATGTTCAAAGGAGACACTGTAAACTCTCAATCTCAGGCCCTGCCACAAGAACCTAAACCTCAAGAATTCACACATCAACCTCAAGACTCATATCCCTCCATCCCCGAACGTAGGTTAAATACTCATACATTCATTCCTCCTCCTTCCAATTCCACTGACCTCACAAGCCTACTGACATCTTTCCTTTCCGAATTTAGATCTCTCATTACCCCTCTTATTTCGCTACTTACCAATGTTATATCCAACCTCATTCCACTGCCAAGAAATCCATAAATGTCATCAACCAAATTCCTCTCCATTCTCCTTTGGAATGCGAATGGTATTCGGAACCACATCAACGAACTGACAATCTTATTACATGACAAAAACATCGACATAGCACTAATAACTGAAACTCGACTAACCAACAAACGACAAATCAACGTTCCCGGCTACAATATTTATCGAACCGACCATCCTGATGGAACAGCACATAGTGGCACTGCCATAATTATCCATAGATCCGTTTCCCATCATCTATTCCCTTTGCCAACCCATAATTTCCTACAATCCACTGCCGTGATAATCCAAACTTCCCTTTACCCAATAACAGTAGTCGCAGCATACTCCCCGCCTAAAATACCCATCTCAGAATCCCAATTAACTTCCTTCCTTAACTCCTTAGGACACCTCTTCCTTCTAGGTGCAGATTTAAATGCTAAACACCAGCAATGGGGAGCCAGAACCACAAATTCTCGAGGACGAACATTGCTAGCTGCACTTAATTCCCATCACAGCAACATCCTCTCACCCAATTCTCCCACATACTGGCCAACAGATCCTAACCGCAATCCCGATCTCCTAGATTTTTTCATCCACAAAGGTCTAGGGTCCCTTAATTATTGCATCTCAAGACTTGATGATCTCTCCTCAGACCATAGTCCCCTAATCCTAACGGTTTCCACATCACCAATTCCCAAACCACCTCCACCTTCATTTATCAGGGGGCCAGTTAATTGGAACCTCTTCCGTCAAATGCTGGCTGATCCTCAGAGTTTTCTTAAAAACACCTACAGACCTAGATGAAGCAGTACATTCCATGACTACGTTGATCCAACAAGCAGTTTGGACTGCATCTTCACCTGATCCTTCTAAAAAATACCGCAAAACAAATCCTCTACCCCAAGGCCTACTGGACCTTATTAATAGAAAACGATACTCTAGGGCTATCTGGCAAAGAACCAGGCATCCTGATGATCGGAAATCATATAACTATTATTCCAAGCAAGTAAAAGAAAAACTGGCCACGTTTAGATCCCAATCCTATAATTCCTATCTTTCCTCACTATCTGCAAGTGATAACTCCATCTGGAATGTAACTAAAAAAATCCTTAAATTCCAATCCATTTCCCACCCCCTCCGCCGTGATGATGGTTCCTGGGCTTCGTCAGATGAGAATAGAGCAGAAGAGTTTGCTAAACATCTATCGTACACATTCACTCCTCATCCTGAACTCCATCCCTCCCATACTGCTGAAGTTAAAGAGTTCCTCTCTTCACCGATTCCTCTCTCCTTACCTCCTACAGCCGTCAACCCCTCTGAGGTCAAATTCCTTTTAAAGAACCTAAAACCTCGCAAATCTCCAGGACACGATCTCCTTACTTCCCAGATCCTCAGACAACTTCCCAAAAAAGCAATTATATTCCTTACATACCTATTCAACTGTATCCTCCGCACAACCCACTTTCCTCTGGTGTGGAAACACTCCATAATTATCCTCTTTCCTAAACCAGGTAAACCTGTTAATTATACATCATCCTATAGACCGATAAGCCTACTTCCGATCCTTTCCAAAATCTTTGAGAAAATCCTTCTCAAACGCATCCTACCCATACTCGAATCCCACAATATCCCTCCCCATCAGTTTGGATTTCGCTCAAGACACTCCACTGTCCAACAAGGCCTTCGCGTTGTCGACCACATATCCTCTGCACTTGAAAACAAGCAATACTGCACTGGTGCCTTTCTGGACGTAGCTCAAGCTTTCGACCGGGTGTGGCACGATGGCTTGCTTTTCAAACTCAAAACCCATTTACCTCAACCCTTGTACCTAGTCCTCAAATCCTACCTTTCAAATCGCTCCTTTCAAGTCCGCTGTGGCACTGAACTCTCCAAACATTATCCAATTGAGGCTGGTGTTCCACAAGGCAGTGTCTTGGGCCCAGTTCTCTACATCCTTTTCACCGCTGACATCCCTTCTAGTCCTGATACCTTCCTAGCAACATTTGCTGATGATACTGCCATCCTATCCTCTCACTCGGATCCTCTAATAGCGTCTCAGAACCTGCAAAGACACCTTTCCTTCATTGAGCAGTGGTGCAACAACTGGCGCATCAAAATTAATGAATCAAAATGCAAGCATGTAACTTTTACTCTTCGACGCAGATCCTGTCCACCAATCCTTTTTAATTCAATTCCTCTTCCCTACTCAGACACAGTCCGATACCTTGGCTTCCTTTTGGACAAAAGACTGACTTGGAACCCACATACCAGACTTAAAAGACAAGAGCTTAACCGACGATTTGGTCAGCTATATAGACTACTAAACAGAACATCTCATCTCTCAACAGAAAACAAATTATTAATCTACAAGACCATACTGAAAACTATCTGGACCTACGGACTTGAACTGTGGGGGACAACTAAATCATCGAATATCAAACGCATCCAATCCTTCCAGTCCAAAGTCCTTCGAACAATAGTCAATGCTCCATATTACGTCACGAACAAGACCCTACACCATGACCTTAACATCCCATATGTCCATGACATCATCCCATCCAGATTCTCCAACTTTCACCAGAACCTCATTCATCATCCCAATCCTCTAGCGCAATCCCTATCCAGCTCCGAACATCCATACCATCCCCCTCGAAGGTTGAAACGGCAGTGGCCTCGAGATCTTTTGTAAATATGCCTTTGGGGTCCTGGCAATGGCCAGCTTCTCCACTCATGTCCTGAGCGTCTGTGGCTGTAGTGCCCTCTTTCAGTCTCCATTGGCTTCTAATACTAGTGATGCGGCTGGAAAAGTGGCGCTGGGATCTCCCGGAGTCTTGCTTCGCCTTCCACGTATGGGGGAAAAAGCCTGGCTCGGAGATTCTTGGGCGAATGTATATATTGTATATAGGTATGCTTGTGTTTAGAAATTTTTATTTTATTTTATTTTTATTTAACTTCTTCACCAGTATTATTTATTTACTTATTATATTTATATTTATTTCTTTATTATTTGTATATATTGTATGAATGAGAACTTGTAGCCCTAATGCTTATAGCCCTCCAGCAGTGGCTGATTGTATTATTATTCAATAAACAGATTAAAAAAAAAATTTATCAATTTTACTTGAACTTACCTTCATACTCCTGAATCATATACAGGGTGCCCCAGTTCTTAATGGCCAAATCCTGGTTGGAGTAGGGGCTATTTTAGATAAAATTGCCGACAAAAAAGTTCATTTGATGAATAGCCCGATTTAGAACGGAATAGGAACGAAGACCAATTGAGTGTTTTTCTTAAGTTTGCTCAAAAACTGTTCAAGATAATTAAATTTTAACTACTCCATCCTAAAGTTGACTTATTTGAGAAAACAGTGATAAAATTTTCTAAGGTCAATTGATAAAAAGGACTTTAAGAAGGTCTAATAACGCAAAGCCTACCATTATGCCGAATTATTTTATGAATCGACATCACAGAGATATGCTGCTCGAGTAGGAGTTCAGTAATTGCTGCAGTACAGCGGGCGGATCAGACCTTCTGAAAGTCCTTTTTATCATTGGCCTTAGTAAATTTTATCACTATTTTCTGAAAATAAATGTTATCTGCAATGGTGTTGCTATGTTTTGGGGTGTTTAAATTTATTCGGGATGCCACTGGATAATTAATTACTGATGATAATTACCCGTAAAGGATTAATAAAAAATTAATAAAATAAATTTGGATCTATAACATTTTGATTGGTCCAGAATTAATCAATTGAATTTCTTTTCTCAAAGGATGGTTTGTGTTTATCATGCTTTCTAATTACACACATTACCTGTGATCATCATGATGAAATAGGTGGCAGAATTAAAATAACTTTTACTAAAAAACTTAATTTATTTCTGTGTTTAATAAAGAATATATATAAATTATTTTAGAAACCTTAAGTGCAAATACTATAAAAAAATAGAAATAGAAATAGAAAATAAACTTTATTCTGAGACGATATCCCCTTAGAATAACAATAATGTACAGTTACAAAAAAAAAAAAAAAAAAAAATACACATCTAGCCAAAAACTAACTCAATATAGATTCAAACAATATATACAACAACTTAAATAATAGTATGTAAATTACTAAAAAATAAAATAAAATCTTCTCAACTATATTTATAATTTTACTGGAAAAAATATGCACTAAACTAAATAAAAAACATGATTTAAGAATGACTGTGCAGATATGATTTCAGATGGACTGTTCTGAGAGTTGTATTGCCATGAAATATTGTAACATTGGTAAATTTATTGTTGGGAATAACACTTATCTCTTGTATATGAACTGGTGTGGTTGGTAGATTTCATTGCTGCATCCGCTGATCCGAGGTAATGTTTTCAAGGCCAGGTCCAAAAACTCCTCTAAGACGCCCATCTGTGGGGTCTATTTAGGGCCAAGGCTTCAGTCCCCAAGCCGGAAGAAAACATCTGACCTATCCTCCAGGCCGAAAATCTACATAAGACCTTTCCTACAGGCCGAACATCAGCAGAAGACTTTCTTGCTTCTCATCGTATTATATACAAATATTCAGGGTGGGGCAAAGATGGTTTTCATTGGTCATTAACTTCACCCTATTACTCAACAATAACTGGCAACAACCTAAAAGGAACCGGTTACTTAGCCCGTTACTAGTTTTTACTCTAAGCCTTCCCTCGAGCCAGGTATAGGGTCGATCCTTATCTACCTACTTTCTACCCTTGATGGTGTTTCTGATGTCAAAAGTCGATTTCGTTCACCTTTGTTTTCTACACTAAATGTTCAATACACAGCAGTGTACATAGAATTTAATTATCTTGAGTAACAGTCTTTGAGAAATTTCTTCTTAATCAAAAGCCGTGACCGCCTTAAAAAAAGCACAAAATTAGGCTTAACTCCTTTAACGCTCGGATTTGGCCGATGCATCAAATGTAATTTTTTTGTTGGAAACGTTGTCAATAATCATCGTCATGTCCATTAAAAACTGAGACACCCTGTATTTATTTTTCTATGCTTGTGAATAATTTAGTCCGTGGTACAGACCCCCTTTTATCGGATTATTAACATCCACCTGAAACTTCATAAATATTTTATTTACGAAAACTCTTGGACTTTAGACTTTTTCAATCTGGAGGGGGTAGACTTTGTATATTTAATTAGATACTAAAAACTCGTAAATACACATTTGCTTTCGACTCGGATCGTAAAATAATTTTATCACAAAATCGATAAAAAAAGGTATCCTTCAAAAATATTGAGCCGTTTGACGTGACCTACACCACCCCGCCCACTGCCACTCTTTTTATCTATTTTGTGATCAAATTATCTTACGATCCAAGTAGAAAGCAAATTTACGTGTTTTTTAGTACCTAATTAAATAGAAAAAAATGGTAATTCCAAGAGTTTTTGTAAATAAAATAGTTGTAGGTTATGATGGGATGAAACTATTTACGAAGTTTCAGGCGTATGTTAATAATTCGGCAAAAAGAGGTCTATACCACGGACTCATGAGAGTTAATCTCAAAATTGGCGTGATTTGTACTGTAAGACTTCCTATGTCTGTTTGGACTGCAATAAGATATATATTAATCAAATCGTGTGAAAGGCAGTTCTGATAAAATATTTCTTAAGGGTTAAGCCCAGTTCTCTGATTGAGGAGTGTGTTGTCCCCGATGATGCCGGACAGATAGACGAAATTTTTTTCACTTCCTCATAAATTGTTTAGGAAGTTTGTAATGTAATATTCCAATTATAATTCACCTTCAATAGATTACCTGTCAATGCAATCCCTTCAATCTATTGTAGCAAATCCGTGGGATTCTATCTTCAGGCATTTTCAGTAGAGTTATCCACCGTCTGTACATTCTTTTGACAACTTCTACTTCCATAGTTGTTATTCCTGTTTCCAAACGTACAATGTTCGGTGTATATTATTTGGACCATTTTGTAAACCTGTTTGACATATTTCATTTTGATTGATTTTAAATTAGGACAATATTGCAGACCCCTTGTTTCTGAACAGTATAATAATGTCGAGCGAATGATTGATTGATACAGCTTATGTTTTGAGTCCCAATTTTCAGATTTAATTCCTTGTAAAACGGTCAGAGCTGTTGCTATTGTATTTTTTTGTTTTTTTAATTGACATATTTGTAGCTTGAAGGTATTTTCCTATCGAACTAAATTGTATTCCTAAGTAGGAGTAATTGCTCACTATTTGAATGGATTTTCTTTCATTTAAAAACGGCTTCAGTGCTTTTGTTCGCCCGCCACCTTTGTGAAATGGTACTATTTTCGTTTTTTCTGTGTTGAGAACCAGTAAGTTTTCTTTACAATATTTCTGTAATATGTTTAACTTCTTTTGGCAATCTATCCATGACTCCACAAGTATCACTATGTCGTTCGTAAATAATAAAATTAGAAGTTCTTTTGATCTATTTATAGCCAAACCTCTTGCTTGATGCTCATAAAGATACTTGACAATATCTGAGATGTACAGTGGAAAGAGTAATGGGCTTGCTGAATAACCATGGAGAACTCCTTTTGTAATTTTTATTGGGCTTGACATCACCCCATTAATGTCTACCACTGCTTCCATAATTTTCATAGAATTTTTGGAGTATTGTAATTAGTTTTACATTCACTCCAATGTGATTCAGCTTTTGCCATAAATTACTGTGATTTAAAGTATCAAAGGCTTTTTGAAAATCAATAAATATTCCATTCAAAACATAGCGTCCTTCAAGTCTCAGATTGACACTTACAATTGAACTCAAAACAAAGATGCTATTTCTGCATCCCCTGTTTTTACGAACCAATTTGTTCTTCCTGCAGTATTTTGTTGATTTATGACCATTCCATAAGATGGCCGAATGGTTCAGAATGGAAGAATTTATTTATTACTATTTCGAATTTCTTCCCAACAGGATCATTTTTCCAATGGTATAGTTTTAGTGGAGTGAAAACAAAGGAAAGAGAGAATTGTCTATCGCACCAAAAGCTAAGTGTTCTGTAAACATGGCCTGTCCCAAGACCTGCAAATAGAATGTTATTTATATCTGATTCTCGTTAATCCCGGATCAATGCATGGATGCGAATCGTGTGATGTCTTTATAAATTGATTTATTATTTTAGATTTGTCTATAGGTATTTTTAGAAACTTTTTATTTATTTATTCATTATTAAGAATTGTGAAATTTATTTTATCAATCGTCGTGAAAATTCTATATAGATATCACTTGCTATATTTAAAGTATTTAACATAAAATTTTTTTTGTATAACATTTTAAGGTTAATCATATCATCATTTCTTTAACAAACATTTTCCGTACAGAATAATGAACTGAAAGATTTTCATGACAACTGAATATCTCCAAATAGTGGAAAATTCAGTTTTTACAAAAATAAAAGTGGAATTGACAGCCAATTTCTCAATTTACCTCGGAAGTAATGACAATTTAGCTATTAGTGTGTAATGTTTGCTAACACAAAGCATTCCAGGAAACGTGAAATTCTTGAACGTGAATACTGGGTGAGATTTGTTGCAATGAAAATGGCGTTTAATTACTGAACGTGATGCCAACAGTACAATATTTGAATAACAACCGTTGAGACATTACTATGAATTGTGCTTATATCAAAACACGTCATAATTACCAGAGAACAATACATCAAAGGGACGTTGTAGCGGAGGTAAGCATTTCCTACCACTACGTCTTTTCATCGTTTCTGTTGAATTCACTAGATCTCAAACACATGTACAATATTATTAATTTATTTACTAAAATATTAAATACAAACTATAAAGCCTAGAGTTGACTTGCCGAAACTGTCTGTTTTAATAACGAGAAATTGCATGTTTTTGAAGCGAAAAACAGGCTTTGCACTTTTTTTGTGAAGAGTGACTTAGATTGAGCCGTCAGATCTCCGATGTGTAACGCTTGGGCAAGGCCGGCTGGAGTGTACTAAGTATTTTTGCATATGGATTAAAATAACTAAAAACCGGACCTACATATTGTTTGCTAGGGAAATGTTCAACATTTCATGCTCTTTGCAATGGGCCATTATTCAAAATGGTATCTTAACACGACGCCTTGTTAGAGTGGCGAAAAGGAAAGAAATGTGTCGAAAATCAAATGATATCGAGTTTAATGGATGATAAGGATTAGAATATCTCAGAAACTAAAAATCAAACCTGCACATACTGTAAGCGAGTAATGTTTTCCATATATGCTCTTTATAATGAGCTATTATTTATAATTTATATTATTAATCTTGTCTAATTGATGTTTTCACTTCTATATTGTGGTCTAAACTACACACCTTAGTTTTTCTGTTTTGTGTTTTTAGTTCTTTTTGTATGTAGATTGACCTGACACAAAAAATGAAACAGTTTCTTGTTAATAAAACAGGCTGTTTTGGCAAGTTAATCACTAGAGCACAGATTTTCAGGATTAATTATTATTTTTTTCTGTTTAAGATAAAAGTGATTTCTCAACAAATCTATGACGATCTTAAGTTGTAGATTTAAAACACAAAATCTTTTGAAAATTTTTTTTTAATCTATTTTGCATTTTGCACTAAAATAGATTTATTTTTTTTACGATGTTGCTCTAAAACAATCTAGTTCGCCCAAAAAAGAGAATATGTAAGCTCATATGGGTTTTAACAAATTGTTATCGATGCTACGTTAAAGTCCCTCTAGTTCCTATATCAATGTTCAATCTTAACCATTGGTGAATTTGCTAGTGGTCTTTTGGGCTGAACCTCCCTCTCTCCCAAAATAGGGAGGAAAATAATATTTTTAGTTTCATTGGTTCATATTTTGTTTTTAGGACTAACTTCAGTTCTGCGCATGCGCTTGATTTGATTGCCACGTTTTTACATCGTCTCTCACAGTTTCTCTTTTTTTAAGTGGAAAAAGTTTACTTTTTTTTACTCAAAAACTATTCACGCCGAGATCAACACAGCAGCAACAACAATGGGCTAATACCACAGTGAGTAGTGTTGATATTTACTGTGTATTCTATAGACCGTGAAACCAGTGTCCGAGGTGCTTTATCGCTAGCCTTATCTGCCATAGCTACGTCTGATACTGCCCACTCTAGCAGTCGTGGCTCTGCCACGGATGAAGACGGACGGAGCTGTGCTCGTCGTTTCTCCGAGTTCAAGGACACGCAGACGAAGTTTTATTTTCCTTATTTTATTTTTTTTATTTTATTTTATTTTTTTTTTTTTTTAGGTGCGATATTTTCATCAAGTGATGTCCACTAAGAGGTCTCGTTCTGCTGGCTCCACCCCTCGTAACTCATCACCTAAACAAAAAACTCGTCGCAGTAAGCGATCGACACCCCCTGGAACTCCTCCAGCGAAAATTCAAGATTCCACACCACAACCGCAAGCAGGTACCTCTTCACAACAAATGGTCTCTGAATCTCCATTTTTTACACCTAATCCATACCAGGTGCTTCAAAATGACAGAGAGGAGATGGATTCTGCACCGATACCTAGAGAACCACGGCCTCCTCCGATCTTTATCAAAAATATTAAATACCACCCAATTAAATACAATCTGTCCTGATAGCTTTTCATGCCTTAACAGGACTAGTGACACAAAAATAACACCGGCCACACCTGAAGCCTATCGAAAAATAATCAAGTATTTGACCGAAACAGGTACGGATTTTTACACATACCTGCTGAGGGAGGATAGATCATTAAGAGTAGTGATAAGAAACCTACACTCCTCAACCCCAACTGAGGTTATTAAGGATGAGCTAACGGCGTTAGGGTTCAATGTTCGCCAAATAACAAACGTTCTGAAAGAAAATAGAGACCAACCAGGAGTAAAAACTAAAATTCCACTGCCCTTATTTTTTGTGGATCTGGAGCCAACATAAGGGGTGGCAAAAATATACGATATACATCGATTATACTATACCATCGTAAAGGTTGAAAAACCATATCCGAAAAAAGAAATCGTCCAGTGCCACAATTGTCAGGCATACGGCCACACTAAGTCATATTGCCACCACATGCCGCGCTGCGTGAGGTGGGGCGAATCACACAAATCTGGAGAATGTACCAAACCAATAAAAGATCCTGCAGTCTGCGCTCTAAGCTTGGCGGGTCATCCGGCCAACTATAAAGGTTGTGAATTCTATAAAAACCTCAAAGCTAGATACAAGCCCTGGAACCACGATGCTACACCTAATCAAAGAAGAGGACCTGATAAAATCGTGGACTCTAAAGTTTCCTTTGTTAAGTTACTCGGAGGTAGAGACCCGACTAATGAATGTGAGACCCTCCCGGAACAACCAACTCAATCCCTACCTCAATATCATATCCCTCCTAATTTACCTAAACCTCAACAACCTAACCAGTATCAAATCCCTCACATTTCCCCACCTTAAATGACTTTCATCAAACCCATATCCATTCTCCAATGGAATGCGAATGGTGTTAGAAATCACACAGACGAACTAACAGCCTTACTATTAGACAAGAACATTGATGTAGCCGCAATTACAGAAACTCGACTGACCAGAAAACAGCTTTTGAAAATACCACAATACTTAACGTATCGGACTGACCACCCTGACCGTAGAGCACATGCCGGTACTGCTGTCATCGTACATCAATCCCTCTCTCATCACATACTCCCATTGCCTAATCACGATTTCCTACAATCCACTGCAGTTGTAATCAAAACCTTTTCCTTTCCTGTCACCATTGCATCACCATATTGCCCTCCTAACCGATCCATATCCAATGTCCACTTCACCTCTCTCCTAAATTCCTTAGGAAACCACTTCATCCTGGGTGCAGACTTAAACGCCAAGCATCAACAATGGGGTTCAAGAACCACGAATTCTCCTGGTCGAACATAGCTGTCTGCACTCAATTCCCAATGTTTTACCCTCCTTCCTCCCAATTCACCTACCTACTGGCCCACTGACCCTAACCACTGACCCTAATCCCGATATCCTCGATTTATTTATCCACAAAGGTTTAGGTACCCTCCACCATTCCCTTGCTCATCGTGATGAGCTTTCCTCAGACCACAGCCTATTAATATTCCAAGTATCATTAGCTCCTATTCCTAAACCTTGACCTAATCCACATAAAACGCCGTGCCAGATTATTATGGCAACGTACCAGACATCCAGCCGACCGCCACTCCTACAATTATCACAGTAAAAAATTAAAACAAGAATTAGCCACCTTCAGATCCCAATCATTCAATTCCTACCTCACTCCCTGCTCATGATAATTCCCTTTGGAATATCACCAGAAAAATCCTCCAATCCCATCATATTTCCCACCCTCTTCGACGAGGTGATGGCTCCTGGGCAGCATCTGATGAAGATAAAGCCGAGGAGTTTGCCAACCACCTTTCCTATACTTTCGCTCCTCATCCGGAATCTCATCCTACCCACACAGTAAAAGTAGAATAATTCCTTTCTTCACCTATCCCACTCTCCTTACCACCTAAAGCAGTTAATCCCTCTGAGGTCAAATACCTATTACGCAAAATCACTCCTCGTAAATCTCCTCATTGTTCATCATTGTTACTTACCTACCAATACGACCTTCTAACCCCGCAGATCCTACGACAACTACCATCCAAAGCCATCATATTTCTAACCTATATATACAATTGTATCCTCCGATCTACCCACTTCCCTCTCCTATGGAAACATTCCACCATCATCCTTTTCCTGAAACCAGGCAAGCCTCCCAATAATACATCATCCTATAGACCAATTAGCCTACTCCCAATTCTTTCAAAAATTTTTGAAAAGATCCTCCTGAAAAGAATCCTATCCATAATAGACTCCCGTAAAATCCCTACCCATCAATTCGGATTCCGTTCCCAACATTCTACCGTCCAACAAGGACTCCGAGTTGTTGACCACATATCCTCAGCCCTAGAAAACAAGCAGTTTTGCTCGAGTGCATTTCTGGACATAGCGCAAGCTTTTGACCGGGTGTGGCACGCCGGACTGCTCTTCAAGCTCAAATCCCATCTACCACAGTCCTTATATCTAATACTCCAATCCTACCTCTCCGACCGCTCCTTTCGAGTTCGCTGTGATACAGAATTTTTCGACTGTTATTCAATTGAGGCTGGAGTTCCTCAAGGCAGCGTCTTGGGTCCCATCCTTTACATCATCTATACCGCTGACATTCCCGTCCATCCCGATACACTCCTGGCAACTTTCGCTGATGACACTGCGATCCTATCTTCTAACTCAGATCCTGAAACAGCGTCCAGAAACCTGCAACAGCACCTATCCTTGATTGAACACATGTGCAAGAAATGGCGCATCAAAGTCAATGAATCCAAATGTAAACATATTACCTTCACCCTTCGTCGTAATTCCTGTCCACCAGTTTACTTTAATACCATCCAGCTTCCCTTCTGCGACACAGTCCGGTACTTTGGTTTTCTCCTAGACAGACGACTAACGTGGAATCTGCATACTAGACTGAAAAGACAGGAACTTAACCGACGTTATGGCCAGCTATATAGACTACTTAATAGAAAATCTAAACTTTCTATTGAAAACAAACTACTGATCTACAAGACAATATTACGGCTATGCTAAAGAATAGTATCCCCTATATCGAAGATACATTGTTGGAGTTATTCAATGATTGCCTCGATAGGGGATACTTTCCACGAAATTGGAAAATTGCCGACATAAGGCTCCTTTACAAGGGAGGAGACAAGGACAAGCAATTAGCCAAGTCTTATAGGCCTATATGTCTCCTCCCTGTTATGAGCAAAGTGTTAGAGAACCTACTCCTGGTGAGCCTACGACCAGTCTTCTCAAGAGCGAGCCATCCACGGCAGTACGGATCCACTAAGGGTAGGGGAACCGTGGATGCCCTGCTGAGAGTGCGCAATGACGTCGAAGAGAAGGCGGAGAAGTATGTTATGCTCCTCCTGTTTGATATCACCTCCGCCTTCGATAGTGTTTGGTGGCCTTGCGTACTCCAGCAGTTGCAGAAGTATGAAGCTCCCAGCAACTTGTACGAGCTATTACGGAGCTATCTTCAGGACCGAACTTTAAGAATACGGGGTAACTTCTTCGAAGTTGAAGACTCCATGGAAAGAGGTTGTCCCCAGGGTCTGTTCTAGGTCCTGCCCTATGGAATTTAGTCTTCAATGAGTTGTTGGGAGTACTGGAAGAGGAGCGGTTCCCCGCTACGGCTTATGTAGATGATCTGGCCGTTGTGGTAGCCTCGAACAGCAGAGCCCGACTGAAAGAAGAAGCTGAAAGGTGCGCCAACTAGTAGAAGAGTGGTGCGAGAAGAAGAAATTCAGGATGGCCGCCGCCAAGACTCAGGCCATCCTCTTGAAAGGCACGACTGATAGGGCTCACCCTATAACAATGGTTATACAAGCATCAAGAATACGTCCAAGTGAGGTTGTCACCTATCTTGGGATTAGGATTGGAAGAAAGTTCAACGTGACACCTCACTTGGACTACTTGAGAAGTAGGGTAGCCCTAACCCTTAACGGACTCAGTCGTATTGGGGGCGCATTTTGGGGCCTCAGGTACCCAGCAACTATGACCATTTATAAAGGTGTTATTGTGAGTATCCTGAGGTATGCGTCCCCTGCCTGGAGCCAAAATCTCTCGCACAGACAGAAATGTAGGTTGGCCACGATTCAGCGGATGGCTCTGCTTCGAGTATCCAGATCATTCAGGACGGTGTCTCATGAGGCTGTGCAGGTCTTGGCAGGAGGAATACCTCTCGACCTCCTGCTGAGAGAAGACTACTACCGGTATGAGATTAGGAGAGAATGCTTAGCGGCTCTACCGGATTACCTCCGAGTGAGAATAAGAGATGATCCAAGAAACTGGAAGAAGATCTCCGGGAGGATACAGTAGAGACTGGAACCGACGGTGGTTGACGACTCCCAAAGGAGCTACTCCTAAGGAAGTACTTCCCCACCGTCAGTTCGCGACTAGAAGCGACTTGGGTCCTCCCGGACTACTGGATTTCACAGATTCTCACGGGGCATGGGGGTTTCCGAGCAAAGCTCGTTCAGTATGGTATAAATATCGATCCCCTATGCCCAAGTTGTGGGGTACCGGAGACCGCTGACATGTGTACTTACCTGTACGGTCTATGAGTCACTGAGGGCGAAACTGTTGAGAGAAACAGGTCTCTTTGTCTAACAGAGAGAGATCTTCCTCAACTTATGGCCAAAGAAAATACGATCACTTCAAACGATTTATATACGGATGGAAAGAAGTTGTCTACCAACCCACTTCTCTTTGGGAAGAAGAAGAGAAGCTGCACCGGGGAGGCCACCGGAATAAGAAGAAAAGAAAACCAGATGCAAGTGAAGAGAAGAGCAAGCTGTGTGCACAGCTCAGAAAAATAA